CACAACAAACACAGAACAAGTGTTTCATCAAATGGGAACCCTATGGCACTTCAGCTTGCTTTGGTACTTTATGCGTTAGGAATGTGCAGGGCCGGCCCAAGACCAAAACCCCACCAAACAAAACATGCCCACGTCTATTATGTTATGCAGTGTGTGTAGTGGATGTATTTGTGTGTATATTGTATTGTGTTATTTGTGTGTGTGGATGCAGTGTATTGCATTGTGTGTCTGTGTAAAATGGATAAAAACACAATATAGGTAGAATCAGGTATTCAGGATGCCAAGGTAAAAAGCTGCCACTCAATAGGCACACTCCAAAGAAGCCTATATTGACAAAATCTAAACCAAAAAAGTCTGGAAAAAACCATACAAACATAAGAGGGCGCTAAATGCCTAGGCAAAAAACGAGAAGTGACTAGTTTAGCAACCAAATCAATGCATAAACGTAATAGTTTATTAATAAAATAAATAGTTAGAAAAACAGTTCAATTGAAAGACCGGGATGAATAATCCAGCCCTAACCACTGAGGTGTATATTAAGGCACAACCAAAAGCCCAACTGTTCGCGACTCCTGGGGGCTAAGGAGTACCTTCTGATGGAAATGCTGTGGTGGTAGTATGGTCTTTGTGCTGCAGAACTGGTCTGTGGCTCAACGCGTTTCATCCCGCGATGTATTTGGGATAACAATCCTTTTAGAGCACACCTGGTGCTATGAAAAAGATATATAGATAATGTTCTTATTATCTGGAAGGGTGGAAGAATTGATTTTTGACATTTATGCATGGATTTGGTTGCTAAACCAGTCACATCTAGTTTTTTTCCACACTTACTTTATTGGTTTAGATTTTGTGTGTAATGGATGCACAGTGTTTGTGTGTATAGTGGATGCAGAATGTGTGTATGGAAGTGGATGCAGTGTGTGTATAGTAGATACGATGTAGTGTGTGTGTTTGTGTAGTGGATGCAGTGTGTGCGTGTGTAGTGGATGCAGTGTGTGTGTGTAGTGGGTGCACTATGTATGTGTGTGTATAGTGAATGCAGTGTGTGCAGTGACTGTTTTAGTGAAGTACATGCAGTGTGTTTGTGGTGTTGTAGTGTGTTTGTGGTGCTAAGTAAATTTGTGGGGGGTGAGCAGTTTTTTATTTTAACTTATTCCCCCGTCTCTGCCACTTACCTGTGGGTAGGGAGGTGGGATACATGATTCCATGGTGGTCCAGTGGAGCAGGAGGACAGTGAAGAGGGAGCCCTGAGAGTGATCTTCCATCAACAGCAAGTACTCTTCTCTCGCGAACCACGAGAGCGTTACCACGTGTTTTACAGTGTCGCCTAGAGCCGTGGCCCCACTGGGGCTAATGGACAGGCCAGCCCTGGGAATGTGTCCTCTTTTTTTCATTTTACAAAAAGGACAGGTTTCAATCCCCTCGGCTTTCAAGCAGACAACAGGTCCTGTTAGTCTGTGGTTTGTTTAGCTTAGTGGAGCTAAACTCAAGAGGCAGTGAAGTCTGTAATTGAACAGCCAGAGAATGTCTGGGCAGGGTTAGAAGAGAAGGACTTGCAAAGGCTGCAGACAAGAGATCTTCAGCTTTTGCAAGATGGTTTAAATATACCCCAATTAAACAAAATGCATAATTAAATGTATGTATGTTTTTATTTGGGATATATATACTAAACAGTGATTTTCATTATTTTTTTTAAAAATCTTTATTTTTCTCACTTTACACAAGAGTAACATAAAGACATTGAGGTATATTGTTATAAAGAATAACAACATTACATCTATATCATGTTGGGATGAAAGAGTATGTAGGATGGTGGAAGAAGAAAGAGCTCACCTTATGTCAATAAAATGTGTTTTTGGTTATTGAATGGTACTGACATCTTGGACTAAAAGAATAGTGTCCCGCAGTGTACTAGGGTACATCCTTGGAAATCTGATTATCCTCTTACACGACTAGCCAATTGTGGATGCATTTCCTCTATAGATAAATGAAAAGGTTTTTCACAAGAGCTGGTGCTATAAGAATTAGGGGGGAATGGAGGGATGGGTTATACAGTGAGTAGCTGGTCTTAAAGAAAAAATATGAAATCAGTAGTTGACAAGCCAGTTTAGCCACGACCCAACACTAATTGTGCACCGGTTCAGAGGTATTCACAGAACATGTGACCAAGTTGCCCCATAGACTTAATTATGTAATAGAACTAAAGAGGGAAAGTAAGAGTGTTTATAAACGAGAATTAAGCAAATAAACAAAAAATAAAAGGACTCATTTGGTGATATCTGGTAGCGAGTCTCTGGATAGTATGAGGCATTGCTACTTCGTTTGGTGTCTGTTCTGGTAGTCATATACCGGCCTTGGCAGAGGTTGGGTTCAACGGGTGTAAAGTCCCTTATCTTTGCTGAATCAAGGTTCGATAGAGCAGTCCCAGCTTCTCCCGGTAGATCAAGAATGCCCAACTTAAACATTTATTCTTCGAGTTCCTGATAGGTACCCACTTTGAAGGTAGTCCGCTGTGCTTGGTGGCCCCCATCGGTAAGGGAGAACATCTTTTGTTCGCAGTAGCTGTAGCAAGGGTTGCAGGGTTCAGCGCCAATTGAGAGTGTTCCTAGTGAGATCAGGAAAAAGCTGTAGTGTAGTACCTTTGAACTGTATTGGCATTGTAGTCCTTACAGCCGTTTGAAGTTGGGCTTTTTCTTGCAGCAATTTGAATCGAACAATGATGTCCTGAGTAGCAGAAGGAGGTGTGCCCACTGGCTTAGGAAGGCGAAACAGGACGAGTTTGATCGCCTTGGCTTGTTTGGGCGGCAAGTAGGCCACGAGGAACTGCCAGATTAAGTGTGGCAGATCCGTCAGCCCCATCGTGTCTGGTACTCCTCGAACTCTACCACGGATAACACGGTGTCATGGGTGCTGTCTGAGGCCTCTAGTTGTGTGGTTTTTAGGCATGCGCCCTCCATAGTCCTCTAAAAGTGGGCCATAACTGCCATTATATTCCAGCATTGCTCAGCTAGCATAGCTTTAATTACGGTTTCGATAACTGGTTCTCGGTCCTCTGTTGAGAGGAGCTTAGGTCCCATGTCTTTGCTGCGTGATGCCCCTTCACCCAGGTCACAAGCGAAATCCTCAGAGGAGTATGAGGAGCCCTCCCCAGAGAGTTCCATGTTGTCCCACGCGGCCCTCTGTGAATGTCAGAACAAGTCTCCAATATCTCTGCTCGAGGAGCCCTTATCGGCTCTAAGTTTCTTGGTTTTCTTCCTACGGTGTAACTATCCACCTGTCGATAGAAAGTTGACTGCCCAGGTTGCCTCCAATTATCACCTAAAAAAAATCACTTTTTGGGTAACTTTGCATGGAGCACATGAAGTGTGCGACCGCTCCGGTTCATAGCAGGCTCTGCCCCTTCCTAAACAGTGATTTTTAAAATGTATTTATTTATTTTTTAATTTGGGCATTGGAGTCTCCATGTAAATCTGCTTGTGCTGCACTGCCTTAACACAATGGGTCTTTTCCCCATTCAAAAGCTTTCAGGGCTTTCTGAATGAGCTTCATTTAGGTGCATTAAATTGACATACCCAATTTGGGGAGACGTGCGTGTCATTCGTGATGACAAAAAATGTCCCCTCTTTGTCCCAGTCCATCCTTTTGGGCTAAATTTGTGTCTAAGTGAGGTCCTGCTGGTGGCCATCAATTTCCAAATTCTGATTGCTAAGGTTAGAACCTGAAATTTGTAACACTGTACTAGAGTTTGTGAAACAGAACTGCAACAACCATTTTATATTTTTTTTTACTTTGGTTTAAACAGTTTGTGATAAGTGAAAAAAGAATGAAAGTGGATAAATGAACAATCAGACGCTGTAACTGTATGGTGCTAGAAAGCTGTCACTACAAACTTGCAATTATTCATGTATGTATTGTCCTGGTTATGGTGTTTGGAGTTTTCTTTTAATACTCATGTCTAAGCATAAAGATGTTAGAGGGGCTTTTTCCTGCACAAGCGGAAATGGGTTCCACTAATCTTCAGGCATTGCAAGCTGATCTTGAAGCAAGGAAATCAGATTGAGGTGGGTAGTCACTGGGCTAACACTGTAGAACCAAAACTAAGTCCCATTTAATAAGTCCTGGCAATTACAAAAAGGTTAAATGATTTATTTTCACTTGCATGAATGTGAATGCACCTCCCTCTCTTGGGAATCTAAATAGCACATCCTAGGTTCCTTGTCAGGATTTGGGATGCATTACCCTAACTGCACGCTTAAGGCACTGCAGGCTTAAGGCATGTTGGCACTAGCTCAAAGTGGCATATATAGAGGTATTTCCTCTGGCACATCCATTTTTTAGGTACCAATTATATATGCCAATTAGCATCTCCTCAAATAATTAATCTATGCAGAATGTTCAGCGCCACCATGCAGAGCAGTGAGACGCTGTACGCCTCGGAAATAGGACTAGGTAGCAGCTCTAGTGGCAATCTGAGTGACTGCCTTTTGAGGTGTTACTAGGCAGTATCTGAAAAGGTAGTGCTTACCTTAAAATGCCAGCTGGGACAGGAAGTAGACACCAGAACAACTAAACTAAACTGCAGTGGTTCTGGTGACTATAGCATCCCTTTAAACAAAATTCATAAGTATATATATATCACAGCACTTAAATGTCTAATTAGAAAAATGATAACATTAAAAATGAATTAAAAAGTGATTCAGCTGCTTAACACTATTAAGTGCTACCTTACACCTTACATAATTCATCATCCCCACACAGCGAGTTAGGAATTGTACGTCTCGCACTGCAGTGAATTGATTGTAACATGTTACCGCTGTCATTCTGTCTCCGAATGCCGTGTGATCCCTGACTGCTCCCAGCGTGAAAGCAAAACTGTCAGCAGAGTTCAAGTCTGAGGCCAGCATGGCACTTGATACAATTCACATTGAAAGCCAGCCCATGGGCGGTCTCTGAGCTGTCCTCCATTGGCTAGCAGGGGAACTTGCAGTGACGCCGGGGAAGGGGGATGGGAAACAGATGACAGTTGTTTTTGTTGTGATTTGTACGTTTCAGAGTTGAGGAGAATTTCTGCTAATCAGTTTAGTTTCCGAAGGCTGAGAGAGGAAGGACCTCAAAGGACTCTTCAAACGGACAGCGGCCGAACCTGGGGGATTAAAACACAGGTATGCATTCCACAGTTTTTGCATGAATTGCCTCCCCGATCCTTTTATTTATTTGTATGTCACCTCCAATTCAGAATTATTGTCACCTCCAATTCTGAATTAATGTCACCCCCAATTCAGAATTAATGTTACCCCCAATTCAGAATTATTGCCACCTCCAATTCAGAATTATTGTCACTTCCAATTCAGAATTAATGCCATCCTCAGATCAGCATCATTCACAGGATTGACACCCTACTCTGATAAAAAAAAATAAAAAAAAATCATACAACAAGCTCGTGCTAGAATCTACAATCTAGTCAGACATAACTCTGCAACATACATGGTAGAATATACATTAACTTCTAGAAAACACTTTTATTTCCCGTCATTCTCAGTTTCATCCAGTCCTAGTATAGCCAACTACTACATCCCTCTGGCTGAGGAAAATCCATCGCTAAATTAGTTATGCTCAGTCCAGGGTCTCTGGTTTTGGATGTGATGCTGACAGGAAATTCAGTCATTTGGGGGCATTCCTACCAAAATGAGGTGTTTTTAATAATTAGACATATTTATGTACATTATTTTAGCTTGTTCATGGAGCTAAGTTGTTTCACCCAGGATCAAAGCATCACTGACAAAATAAGACAGCTTCAACCTAAGTTAAATCTATAACATTTGAGCACATATATTGTTTATGAAATAAAACACAGGAAAGAAAATGAATGTAAACTATTATATTGTTATTTGACTATTAAAGATTTAGCAATATGATTTTGATTCCGCGCTAAGCAATTATAACCATTTCCTTTTTGTTTGTTTTTTTAAATCAGAGGGCTAATTGTTCAATTTTGCTAGGTAGACTTTTTGGTGGTGGTGGTGAGGGGAGTCATATTTTTTTCTGATTTATATCACTAATACCTCTTTAGTTATAATGAAAGACTCCTGCTGGCTTTTAGCCCAGTATGCAGGCAAATAATCTCAACTAAATAGCTTTTAATTTAATAGAAAGCCTTCTGTTCTATTCTGTACTAGTAGTTCTTTTATCAACTTTATTTATGGTGATTAACAGAACACTCACACCAGATTTTAATTATATGGAAATAAACACAAATGTGTTAATATATCACTAAATCTTTATACATTATTTACATGGTACTGTGATGGCAAACCTTGACAATGCAGAGGTTTGCAGAATATTCTTATGCCCCAAAACATCTGAAGTGCCAAAGACAGCCATCACATTTATCTTCTAAACCTACTTGGCTGAGTTTATGCGTGCAGCCTTCACGTAGATATATAATAACTGCCAGCTCTGCATCAGTCCCCAATTTACAGCTTTATTCCCCCCACCCCCCTGAATTCCAGTACAGTGTTCTATGAATAAACCTCCCTAATCTGATTACTATTATGCCCTACTTGTTTAGCGTAGAACCACTCGCTGATATCTGGCTTATAACGATTGTTTACTGGGGTCAAAAAGAGTTCTGTTCATTCAACGTAGAATTAAGGGCAGTACTTCAGCCTGAGGGGAATGTGACAACTAATCTCACGCAATGTTACAGTAATCAAGTTCAATATTTTGCTCTACGCCCTTACCCCAACATAATTTTAAATGTATGGGGTTTAGAAAACACATTACCTACTTAAAACAGCATTGGTGAATAAATGAATAATAAAACGTAACAGATTTAATGTTAAATGAGTGTATAGGTTATGAAGCTTGGAGTGTTCTTATAATGCATTATATAAATAATGCATTCAACTTGTGCAATAAAGCAAACTAAAACTAAAGAATAAAAATGCCCATAAATATCATAAAACTGCAGAAGCAAGTGCTGCAGCTGGCAGACCCCTCTCTGACATTGAAGTGGCTCCACAAGTCATGAGCCACTCATGGGTTTACGGTTTACTTAACCCATAGCCCCTATTCAGTAATATTTTGGGGATATGTAGTTTATACCCTTGCCACAGTTCCACTCATGAAATTGGATAAGTAGAAATGCTCAATAACGCTGACAGAAGCCAGCTGTTTTTCTGTCTGTATCTGTGTGTGTCTGGAAGTTACTGTGAGTTTGGCAAGAGGTATATCTAGTAGGTGTTAAGGGGTGGCGTTTGGGTGGGGTAGGGTGTGGCTTTCACTTAAATAGTGTTTTAGGCTTAACACTCAGGTATTTTTTACCTCAGCAACGCCCCTGAAAGGATCCTTCTTGGCTACCAAACATCTGTGAGGACATGCATGTGTCCTCATAGATACGCATTGTGGACCTAATGCGCATGCGCGGCAAGTGCCACACATCCAAAATTCCCCATAGGAATTCAGTACATTCCTATGAGCTGCACTGTCATGGAAGACATACACTAGTGGTGTGTTTAATGCTGCAATGTTTCTACAAAATTGCAATGTTTTTCATTACAGGGTTAAAATGACAGGACCACTGAACCCTGACCACTTCATTGATATGAAGTGATCTGGGTGACTTAATGGTCCTTTAACTAGGGATCAACCGATTATCGGTTTTGCTGATATTATCGGCTGATATTCAGATTTTTTGTACATATCGGTATCACCCGATAATGACCGGTAACACCGATAATGAATGGGTGGGCCAGCGGCCTCCTTAGGGCGCACCAGCTGGGGGCACAGCCCTCCCTTCTGCTAGTCACTCTGTATAGCGTGGCCAAGCGGAGCAGTGTGCACCGCAGTACAGGAACTTATGTTTCCTGTACCTGGCCGGACTGAAAGGAAGTGCTCACTGAGAGAACACTTCCTGTCAGTCAGGCCATGTACAGGAGACTGAATCTCCTGTATTGTGGTGCGCAGTGCAATGCTACCAGGAGACACACCGGGGAGCGGGGACCAAGGAGGGGAGAGAGAGGGGCACTAAGGGAGAGGGGGCAATAAGGGATAGGGGGTGGTAAGGATCACTATGGGATGGGGGTGGTAGAACACTATGGGACCGGCGGTGGGGTGGTAAGGAACAATATGGAGGGGTGGAAAGGAACACTATGGGGGAGGGGGTGGAAAGGAACACTATAGGGGAGAGGGGGTGGAAAGGAATACTATGTAGGGGGAATACTATAGGGAAGGGAGTTTGAAAGGAACACTATCAGGAAGGAAGTGGTGGAAAGGAACACTATGTAAGGGGGGTGGTAAGGAACACTATGGGGAAGGGGGGTGGAAAGGAACACTATGTAAGGAGGGTGGTAAGGAACACTATGGGACAGGGGAGGGGTGGGAAATGACACTATGGGACAGGGAAGGGGGGGACAAGAACACTTTCGGACGGGTGGGGAGAAGAACACAAGGAGGGAGAGAGGAACATTAATTGAGGACACTAAGATACAGGTAAGGGAAGGAAAAAGGAACACTGGGTTAGGGGAAGGACCACTAAAAGAGAAGGGAGAGGAACACTGCATCCACTAAATAAACACACACACTGAATCCACTACCCACACTGCATCCACTACACAAACACATTGCATCCACTACCTACACTGCACCCACTACACAAACAAACACATTGCATCCACTACCCACACTACATCCACTACACAAACACACTGCATCCACTACACACACACTACATCCACTATCCACACTGCATCAACTATACAAACAAACACATTGCATCCACTACATAAACACACACACACTGCATTTACTAATCAAATACTCTCACTGCATCCACTACACACACATATAAATATTCTTGAAAACATGAAAAAAATCTGACTGGCATGTATATTTTGTGCATTTACCACTTAATAAAAAAAAGATTTGCAAAAAAAATAAATACGTTAAATGTACAGAATATCAGCTATCTTCTAAATGGCAAATAATTAATCACTGACATTGCAGGAGTATGATCCATGTGGCCAACAGACCCTCGCCACAGGCTTTTGGAGGAGCCTGCTTGCCAGCCTCCTGCCAAAAGACTATGGGCCAGGTCAGTGACTGTGAAAACCCATATTTTATTCCCCCTCGGTTCTCCATAGAACCGAACGCTAGCTCACTGGCGGCCGTTCGCATGGACCAAAACCGCAAATAGACTTCAGGGAAAACTTAGCAGCGAATGCCCTGGAACTATTTTCGGCATGAAAACTTTGCGGTTCCCGCTCGGTCCCCAGCAGCACTTAGCCACGATTCTATGGAAATGTCTTGGGCATGGGACAGCCAAAACTATGACTTCCAGAAAATTCCTGAACGCCAGAACCGATCTGGGTGATTTTTGGATATGTTGTTCACCCAGATCGGGGCTGTCAGGATATAACTTTTGTGTTGTTGTTTTTTTAATATGTCTTAAAGGTATTTTTGGGGTTTTATAAAAATGTGTGTTTTTGTGTCTGGAGATAATTGAGTTAATACAGTACTTGACTCAATTATCTCCCAGGTACAGAAGAGGGATTGACCTAGTTTGTATGGGAGTGTCCTGGATCTGAGAGCCAATGTGATTGTGTATTTGTTTCTACTGTAGTTTACTCTCAGGTCCAGGGGGGAGTGCCCCTCGCATGAGGACTGTCATAAAAGGACAAGTGTAGTCCCATTAAAGTCAGTTCACTTAACCCTCAATACGCAGCCTTATCTCGTGATTGTAGGGAACAGCTATACCAGCTATACCTGCTTCGGATTGCTATACTGGCTATAATCACTAGCTCTTGTAAGAGCTATACCTGCTAGACTCTCAGGAGTAGGAGAGGTCCACTGGAAGCTGGACCCTGGGCTTAGGTCCAGGGTGGGTGGAGGACAGCAAGACCCCAGCCAAGCTACAGCGGCTAAGGGGCTACAGTGCTTATGGTGTCCGGTGCGGTGCTTATAGTACTCCAGGCTACTAGGAAGCAGCGATTGGCAGAGGCACCCAGTCGGGTTGCCAGGCGGTCCGTCACACACCAAAACTACTTAATTAAGCTAATTTGTTTTGGTGTTTAAAGTTTAAGGTATCCCTTCAAGATTTTTCAATCCACTTTTTTAAAAAAAATCCCTTATTCCTGTTTCTTTTCATGTTTTAAGCATTCTCACTCTGGGTAACAAAAAAAGATCCAGTGCCACTACAGGCACTACATAGGCAATGTCATATGGCAAAACAAAAGACACCGTTTAGATCGAAACATATTGTATTGCACAAAATCAACTGCAGGACTCCGCTTACTGCACTTGCACCTTTGCTACTTAGTAACCCAACTGGCCCAAGAGGTGATGTGGCACTCTGCCCCGGAAGCAAGGAAGCTGATAGATTTGGAATTCCTTATGATGGGTGCAGATCTACCTCAGTTCTGTATGTGGGTTCCAAAGGAACCCACATATGTGAATGTCCAGCGATAATGAACTCACTGTGGGTCTGAAATGCCAACAACAACACATTTTTATTGGCCTCTTCAACATCCCCAATGACTGCATTATTTAGAAATTGGGCCTTCCTGTCCTTCCTAAAGACGAGGGATTTTCCGGTCATAGAGAATGTAGGGGTTAAAAGAATTATCTAGTAAATGTATGGATGTCTCGTGGTACCCTTTTGAGAACTCCAGAACCGCTCTTCCCTAACCCCAGCAGATTATTTCAGATATATACACATGCTAATCAAAGTGTCTTATTTGTATATATCTGAAATATATCAATCACGAGACTTTGCCAATTCTTTGAAAAAATGTGCTTCGTAGAAACAAACCAAAGAGACCTAATTATTATATGCACTCCTAAGCTCAAACTCTACAGAATGGTGGTGATATGGGAAGCAAATATGAAAACATCTGTCTGTGTCACATCATAGAAAAGCATGTTCAGATAGTACAATACTTCTGTTTCATATGAAGAAAGCAGAGGCACATGTGGTGGTTCTATCTGAAGGTAGCCACATTCTGGGAGGGTGTTAGGAACCTGTTATTTATTATTATTTTGGGCATTTATATAGTGCCAACATATTCTGCAGCGCTTTACAATATTATAAGAGGGGGATATTTAGCAATAAATGAGACAATTCTAAAGTGTTACAGGAAGAGTAGGTTGAGGATGTCCCTTCTCAAACAAGCTTACAGTCTAGGAGTGGATTATAAAACACAATAGGCCAGGGATGGGAGTGAAGCAGAACTGGAGGAGAGTAGAGTGCTGCCCTTTAGGGAGACAGGTATGTGAGGTAGAGGTTACTCTGGGAGGTCATAAGCTTTCCTGAAGAGATGGGTTTGGAGGCACTTCTTAAAGGATTGAGACTCGGGGAGAGTCTGATGGTTGTAGGCAGGCTGTTCCATACATAAGGAGCCGCCTGTTATACTTGTTTTTACAAGTATTTGGTAGAAGAGCTGACCTGGTCCCTTGGGTATTCCTACTTTCCAAGCCACTGAAGACTATGACTACAGCTGAACAAAGTGTTTTCGATAAAATAACAGCTGCCAGAAGGGCCTTAGCTCAATCTTAAATTCAGAAATACCGCTCATGGATGCAATAATTCTAAAAATCAATGATAACTATTTAATGGATAAGCTAACCGTGTAGGTCAAGAGTACCTTTTCAACATTTAATTTCGACCCCATAAGAAAACATACAGGGGCGATAAAGCATGTGCATTCATTTGCATGTAATCCAAGCATGCAAATATCTGTTTGGGCTCACAAGTATTCAGTTGTACTCCACAGTACAAAAATATATAATTTATCTTTATGAATCTCCACTGGGGCCCCGTTCCCTCCCCCACCCCCCAAAAAAATTAAAATAATTCACTATTTAGTTGATAAACATGTATGCATTTAATTATATATTTTTGTTTTTCTCATAGGGAATATATATAAAAACAGCTCTAAAACAGATCTCTTGCCTGAAGCCTTTACAAAACGCTCCCCTTCTAACCCCGCCAGACCTTCCCTATACAGCTCCATGAGAAGTGCTCTGGGTAATTGCTGCCTCTTGAGTTTAGCTCCACTGAGCTAACCAAACCAGGAAGTAACAGGACCTGTTGTGTAATTGACAGCTAAGGGAGTGTAACCAGATTAATTTATAAAAGTGTCAATTTCTATTGAATGAAAAAAGAGGACACACTTTTTACACAGAAAACACTTTAGCAAGCTCAGGGGTATGAGGTGTACCTTTAATGCTTTGGGAGCAGTTTTAGTGCAGGGCAAAAGTATATACTTGATCTATACGTTTATGTAATTCTTATCTGTCTTTTCTATTTTTCTTCTCATTTGACCATATATGTGCATTACATATTGTATTATCTGTATGGCATATAAGTTATTGATTATGTATATTTGCATTTTCTGTTTTCCTTTTCCTGCATCTTTTCCGTTGTAAGATTTTCTTTTACATGTTTTTTATTTTATTTTCATTTATTTTTTAACTTACTTGAAACTTAAAAGTTACAATAATACATACAATTTGTCCAAAAGGTTATTTCCCTTTATTTATTGATCCAGAGAAAAGCAAAAAACCTTGTACATACTTTTAGCAATATGTCGCAAGTAAAAAATTCCTTTCCTATTTTAAAATGAGTGGCTATATTTCTGTCCCTGGACTTTGTATGTCAAATGAAAAAAATCCTTTTCACAAACAAATAGAAATCCTGACCCCCATGCTAAGGCACTCTGCAATCGAGGTACATTACCCTGTTCCCTGACCATCACACTTCTTAAATATCCATGAGCATGTCCTGCTTCTCCCAAACTGTTTAAACTCTGTGGTTTTTAGACATATTCTGTGTTCTGTGGTTTTGAGCACCATTAGTGCAAACATTTATAGGAAGCAATGCTTTGGATATGACTTTCCCTATGAGTGCTAGGTTTAATCTCTGAAACAGTTGTGCTCAAAGGTTTGCATACCCTGGCAGAAAATGTGAAATTTTGGCATTGATTTTGAAAATATGACTGATAATGCAAATAAATGTCTTTTATTGAAGGATATTGATCATATGAAGCCATTTATTATCACATAGTTGTTTGGCTCCTGATCAAATCACCCAAATTGCCCTGCTCAAAATTTTATATACCCTTAAATATTTGGCCTTTAACACACAGGTTAAAATGGCAATAACAGGATAATTTCCCACACTTGTGGCTTTCTAAATGGCAATTAGTGTTTGTTTATAAATAGTCAATGAGTTTGTTAGCTCTCACGTGGATGCACTGAGCAGGCTAGATACTGAGCCATGGGAAGCAGTAAAGAACTGTCAAAAGACCTGCGTAGCAACGTAATGGAACGACCGCAAGACCCCAGCTAAGCTGCGGCGGCTAAGGGGCTACGGTGCTTTTGGTGTTCGGTGCGGTGCTTATAGTATTCATTGATTGGCAGAGGTACCCAGTCGGGGTGCCAGGCGGTCTGTCACAAGCGTGTATATCAGAAGCAGGAACCCAAGAACAATCAGCAAGGCCATAACCCTTCCAATCAACCAAGTACTGCAAAGAACCATAAGGAAATCTGGAATCAATTATGGAGGAGACTTCGTACTCCTCCCGTCCAGCTATAACCAAAGGAGGAGGAGGGACAAAAGGGACAGTATACCTATTGCAGATAAGAGGCTTAAGCAAAGAGACATGAAATTATTTAGGTATACGCAAGGAGGCTGGAAGTGCAAGAGAATATGAAACAGGATTGATTTTTCGAATAATATGAAAAGGCCCAATAAACCTGGATGCAAACGTCATACTAGGAACCTTGAGTCTGATATTTTGCGAGGAGAGCCATACACGATCACCCACCTGGTAAACGGTTGGCACCACGATGCTTATCAGCATGATATTTGAAACGAGCTTCAGCAGTTTTAAGATCCGTGTGGACCTTAGTCCAAGTCTCACGTATACATATGAGATGCTCATCCAGAGCAGGAATAGCAGTGTCGGAGAACACCGCAGGAAGAACAGTAGGATGACCATCGTTGTTGACAAACAATGGACTGTGTCCAGATGAGTCATGAGTAGCATTATTCCTGGCAAATTCGGCCCAAGGTAGTAAGTCAAACCAGTTTTCCTGAGTGCTATTAATAAAACATCGCAAATATAGTTCCAACGACTGGTTGGCCCTCTCAGTCGCACCATTAGTTTGAGGATGGTATGAATATGAAAATGAAAAATCATTACCCAACTGTTTGTTAAATGCTCTCCAAAATCATGTTACAAATTGGGAACCCCTGTCAGACACAATATTTAGTGGAAACCATGTAATCTGGCAATTTCGCTTATAAATATATGAACCAGCTCTTGGGAAGAAGGTAACTTTTTGAGCGGAACAAAGTGGGCTATTTTAGAAAAGCGATCAACCACCATTAGAAATCGGGAGTTCCACAATGAAGTCCACAAACAAATGAGACCATGGGACACTGGGTATAGGAAGTGGTTGTAATAACCCACATGGTAGTTTATGGGGAACCTTAGAAATCGCACAAATTGTACAAGCCTCCACATATTCTCTGATGTATTTTCTAAGAGAAGGCCATCAAAATGATCTGGAGACAGCGCATACAGTTTTATTAATACCTGGAGGTCCAGCTGTCACACTATCGTTGAACACTCTTAGCACCTCCTTTCTTTCTAGCAACGGAATGAACAATATATCTTGAGGTTTATCACTAGGTGCCTGAGACTGAACCGCCATGATAGCACAAAAGAGGAGAAGACAAGGAAACGACAGTAGAAGCAATGATACACTCCGGTGGAATGATAGGGGAGGTCTCTTGTTCTTGTTCTGACTCTGTCAAATTGCCTAGATAGGACGTCAGCCTTAACGTTCTTAGGACCTGGTCTGTACGTGATGATAAAGTTAAAGCGTAACACAAACAATGACCATCTAGCTTGTCTAGAAGACAGCCTTTTAGCATCTCCAATGTATGCCAAGTTTTTGCGATCAGTTATGATCAGGAGAGGATCCTGGGAACCATACAAAAGATGTCGCCATTCTTTCAGAGCTAGTATAATGGCCAACAATTCTCTGTTACCAATATCATAATTACGCTTTGCTGGTGACAACTTTCTAGAAAAGAACCCACAAGGATGCGAAGAGGTATACTGACTCTCCCTCTGAGAAGAAACAGCCTCTACCCCTGTCTCAGAGGCGTCTACCTCTAGTATGAAGGGTTTGCTAGTGTCAGCATGTACCAATATGTCAGCAGAGGGGAATCATTTCTGAAGAAGTTCAAAAGCTTCTCTAGCTTCTTTAGACCATATAGTACAGTTAACTCCCTTACGTGTCATATTGGTGATGGGCGCTATCACAGTAGCGAAACCTTTGATGAATCTCCTATAGTAATTAGCAAACCCAATAAACTTTTTAATGGCTTTTAACCCATTAGGTAATGGCCAGTGTAGAACAACTTCAAGTTTGTGAGGGTCCATCTGAAAACCAGAGGCTGAAATATTATATCCCAAGAACTGTACCTCCTTCTGGTCAAATATGCATTTCTCAAGTTTGCAAAACTTGCTTCACATGCCCATGATGAGTCTGGAGGTAATAAATGAGAATATCATTTAGATATATGACTCGGCGGACATCCTGGTCCTCCTTTGGACTGCTTATATTGTATATATAAATTTGGTAGTCACAGTGGGACTCCAAGAGGAGCTGTCCATTAAGCTACAAATAATAAAAGGAAAATATACTCATTAAAGTGCCATGAGAGGATATAGACTAGGGAGGAAAAGGGGGGTGGGGAGTAAAACAGGAGAAAAGGCAATATATATATAAAAAGTGGAATAACAATTTTGTATATGACATAAAAATAAATTATGTATATGGCATATAAAATAAATATATCTAAAATATGTATTAAGCAATATATATAAAAAAATGTATTATACAATATATAAATACAAAATACATAAAAATGTTAAATATATATATATATATATTTAAATATAATTATACATGTCAAAGTCTATGTTTAAACTTTCTGGCGAGAGGGTTCCTAATTCGAAAATCCACTTAATTTCAGTTTTGTTCAATAATTTCAAATGGTACCCCCCTCTCTAGGGCTTTTACACTTTTTGAATACAAATAAAACTAAAATCCCCATTGTGAGCTTTCTTAAAACGAGCTGAAACCGAGTGAGTTAAAATCTTATTTTTTTACATTTCTTATATGCTCATTTATTCTTGTTTTTAATGGTATTGTGGTTCTGCCCACATACTGGAGCCCGCATTGGCATTTTAAAAGGTATATAACATGACTTGTATCACATGTGATAAATGATTTGATCTTAAACTCCTTGTTATTGGTTCTGGAGTCAAATTGATCAATTTTCCTAGTACTAGCCTTTGTTACTTGGCAGGCTTTGCATTGTCCACAATGGAAGAAACTTTTGATCTCTTTGCCTGCAAAGTCCCTATCCCCTAAACTCTCTTTCGCAATACATCTTTTGATTAGTATTTGCTTCAAATTCCTCGCTCCTTGGCTTTTGTCCAATAAAAACATTGAGATCCTTATATTTTTGGAGAATGTGCCAGTGTTTATTTAAAACATTTTTAAGATCCCGACTTTGTGTATTAAAATTAAAGAAAAAAACTGATTTGCTCATCTGTAATTGGATTTTTGTCTTTCCCTATATTTGAATAGTTCTTCTCTCGGTTTTACATCGATTTCTAAAAACTTTTCTTCTACTTCCTCTTTCCCATATCTTTTCTGATAAAAATGTTTCTTTAATTTTCTCGATTGTTCTACAAATGTGCCTTCATCTTTGCAGTTCCTCTTCAACCTAGTTAATTGACCTTTGGGAATATTCATTAACCAAGGGGAGAAGTGGCAGCCTCTTTTGTCTGTCACTATTAATATCCATTTTTAAAAAAAGGTCTTCGTTTTCATAATACCAGTATCAATAAAATTTGTGAGATCTAAAAAATTCTCCTCTTGGGTACTTATATCCATAATTAATTTAATGCCCCAGAATTTGGAGTTTAAGAAAGTTATAAAAAGATCAAGCGAGGCACGGCTACCTTTCCAAACAAAGAATATATCATCGCTATATCTTCTATAGAGGACCAGGTTTGCACTCCAGTCATTTCCAGAATAGACAAATGACTCTTCCCAATATGCCATAAATAGGTTAGCATAACTTGGTGCAAACTTGGTCCCCATTGCTTTGCCTCGCTTCTGTAAATAGAAATGTCCCTCGAACCAAAAAATAATTGTTATGTAAAATGAGGGAGATGCCAGCTGTTCTTCCTTAAAATCCTTGGACCGGTTCATAAAAAAATCTAACAGCCTCACAGCGAAGGTGGTGTAAAGACCGCTTACATCACAAGTAACTAGAAAGCAGTCTCCACACCATTTAAACCATCTAAAATCTGTAATAAATTAATAGTATCTTTCAGATAGGATCTAGTTTCAACCACCAATGGATATAATTAAAAAATCTATATATTGTGACAGGGGGTATAAAAGTGAATCCACCCCTACCACAATGGTTCTGCCTGGAGGGCAGGTAGAATTCTTATATAGCTTAGGTAATATATATATTACTGGTATAATGGAGTGATCGTGGTATAAAAATTTGTATTAATTTTTAATTAAAATACCTTTTCACACCATTATCTCAAAATATACTGAGCTTTTTCCTTATTTCTCGTTCTGGATTATTTTTTAATTTACAGTAAGTTTCGTGTCTAATAATTGATAAAAAATCTCATTGTTATAAAAAGACTTATCCATAATAAACACCTCTGTGACTTTATCAGCGGGTTTGATTATTATGTTTATGCCCACCCTTAGTTTTTTTAGGGCTTTCTCCATTAGGTAGATTGTTCAAAAACTTAGATAAAGGTTAAATTTTTTTATGTCGCTAATGCAAGCTTCTTCAAATGTTTTCATGCTTTCAGTCTTTAAATGATATGAAAAAAAAAAAAAATCAGACCTTGGTTTAAGTATTAGTATGTTTAAAACTATCTAGTTCACTACTGTGTCTGTCTCTTTTCTCTACATTTAAAAAAGATTTTTAAAGCCACAATTTTTTCATATGGCGATTAAGGTCAATGAATGTTTCAAATTTGTTCAGGCCACAAATAGGAGCAAATTTAAAACCTTTCTCTAAAACTCTATGTTGTTCTGAACCAAATTGTTTTTAGATAAATTAAATTTTATAGGTTTGACTTTCTCCATTAGTTTTCTCTCCTCTTGTTTGTCTTCCTCTGTTCCCCATTGACTCTCTTCTTCGTATTAGGGGTGAGCGGGGAGATCTTGGCCTCAAATCGTGAGATCTCGGGCTCCCCAAAAAAACTTCTTCTCTCTCAAAGGTTCATATCTATTTCTTAAATGTATAGGCCTCTTAGTGGGTATTCTTTCCCTATTTGAGGGAAGGTGGGTTGTTTTCTTCTGATTAGAAAATTCGGGTCCTCTATTGAACCGAGGTGGAGTGGTATTCCTTTTCCTCTGTTTTTCTCTTCTTATTTCCATCCATCCCTCCCCATTCCTTCCTTTATTGGTCTCCCACTGTCTATTTTGTCTATCCTCATAGACTTTGGACTGTTACTTTGGGATATTTCTTCCCTCAATTTGTACTAAATCTTTTCTCGTTGTAGCCTGATCTTCTCTCTTTTTATCATTTTTCAAATTCTCTTTTTTTATTTTGTTTTCCTGATATTGTCTCTTTTGTAGTCATCTATATCTCTTACATATATTTTATACTTTGTTTTTAGAATGTCTTGTTTTTTGGAGATAATCAGAGATATATCTTCGAAATATTTGGTTCACACAAAAGGCTCTAATTTCACCCTTATACTCTTGATTGCTCCATCTATTTTTCCCAAGGAAATTGTTCTCTGCTCTACAATGATCTTCATCATAGTGACAGAGAAGGACTCCAGGGCTGAATTCCAAATGGAGATGAAAGAGTCGTCATCACGATCAAAAGTGGAAAATTTGCTGAACTGTAATCCCCTCGGGGTAATCTCTTCCTTCAGATATTTCTCTAATGTAAAGATTTCACATTTTATCTTTAAATCTATAATCAATAATTTCTCTAATTCTCCAAAAATAATATCAAGATTATCACTCTCTTTTATTTGTACTTGGCTGGAATTCCTATTGTGGTTAGAATTGAACTTTTCTTTTATATTTTCAGGCCATTTTTCCCTTCTCTCAAAAATGGCCATTTATGCACAGGAGAAATACACACTATATAAACAAAAGCAGTCTAAAATTACACTTAGTGATTGAATATAAACATAGAATAGATCGATAGTACAAAAACTATTGGAGCTGATTTATAAAGTGCAAAAGATGACAAGCAATGTATGCAAATGCTGCTAGTTGACACCGTGAAATCAATCACAAAAATTCCACAAAATGTAAAGATATAAAGATAAGTGAACAGCCCAGTGCTCCGACCCTTCTTCCAACGACTGCGCTCTCTCTGCGTATTTGGAAGAGGTTGGGCCAAAACTGTGCATGGCAGGACCGACCTCCCTGGATACACCAATGTCTAGCATAGTTATGATGTTACCCACATTCAACCCTAAATGCTGTATGAAGGGGGGATGTACTCACCTTGGCAATCTTTTCACTCAAATAAGATAAATGATTTCCCCACACTGCAACGCAAATTCAGGCTCCCATCTAGGGCACTCTTTTTCTACTTGCAAATTAAATCATAATACCTTAAAAAACTGCCATAACAAATCAGGGGGAGGGCTCCTCTCCCCTTTTGAACAGTTATGCATGTATTGAACCCCCCCCCCCAAAAGTATTGTCTATTACATATAACCTGTTATCATCTGATCACTCAACATGGACGACCGAGTTTATAAGGTTCTGGCATGGGGAACTGGGACAATCATATGATAAAGAACAGTCCCTATGCTGCTTGTAAAATGAAAATCCATCCACTCAATCCTGAGATAGAATCAGTATGAATTATCGCCAAGTGCTGTAAGTAGATACTAACTTCTGGAAAACACTCCATAGGAAGAGGAGTAACATCTCTAAATAGTATTATATTATCCCTCACGATATAGGTTTGGAAGCAGATAAATATTTTTTATCCAAATCTGATTTCAAGGAGGACCAAATAGAGTACATTCTAGAGGGAATTTTACTGATTTTAACCAAAGTAGTGGTTCCAAAGTAGTTTCTACCTGCAAATGTTTTGCACGACGATGGGCACCAAATTCGCACCCAGTTATGCCAATCTATTCATGGCCTATTGGGAAGAGAGATTTGTTTTCCATGGACATTCCTGGGTGTCGAGTCTGGTGTCCTATCGCTGGTACATTAATGATATATTTTTAATATTAAAGGGTCCACTCACAGATCTTGAGATTTTCTTAGCCCTTTTGAACAACAGTAATTGGGGCATAGTTTTAACCTCTACTTTTAGCACTTCAGTCTCAATTTTTTATATTTGACGATTTTTATTCAAGATTCAAATATGAAGACCAAAAACTGTTTTAAGACCGTGGACGCAAATGGCTATATTGAAAAAAGGAGTTGCCATCATAAACCTTGGCTTGAAAATGTTCCAGAAGGTAAATTTTTAAGAATCAGACAAAACTGTACTGATGACCAGGATTACATCATACAGTCCAATAGGTTTAAAGAACAATTTTTGGAAAAAGGGTATAAAGAAAATAACGTGGACACACAGCTAGAGATGCAGTAAAGAAAATTCTGAGAAAGAAACTTCTAAAAAGAAAGATATGAACACATGAAGAATGATGTCCCTTTCATCTGTAATTTAAAAAATTTATTTATTTATTTATTTCAAGACAGAATGAGAACATACAACGTGTCCGTAACATGAGTATACTATACAAAGACACACTTAAATGTAGAAAAGTTAACAATAGTACTATACATATGAATAAAAAAAAACTTTTTCGTATAAAGCATATCAATTGTAGCCCTTAAGGTCCTGTAGTACATTGTGTCTTCAAGCCAATCTTGGAGAATTACCACATTCAACAACCTGCCTTGGTTTTTATTTTTGCAAGTAAAATAGAATCATTTACAATCTGTCTGACCATATAGTAAAAAGATAGAGCACTTTTCGCTTGAGAGTTTATACCCCTGTTAAGAACGTCAGAGGGTAGTATACTAGCATATTTTGCTTGTTTTCACTCCAAGTGTTTCATGAGGAATTATTCGCTGTGCAAGTGTACATGGTGAACAAGAAATAAGGAAATGTAAGTGGACAGAAAAGATAAAGAGATTAGCGAAGAGGGGTAAGGTTGAAGGGTGGGGGGGAGTATCATCGGATTCCGTTTGTGTCACCACTTGCGAGAGGTGGATAGGTCTATATATCGTGTCCGATTCGGTCCCTAGGCCATTTGGTTCCCAAGACTCTCCCTGTTCGAAGATAGGTGCTATGTGCCTCGCCCTTTCGATACCACCCCACCCTCCCCCTTGTCACTGACTGTGCTAGCCATCCAAGGGCTCCAGGTCTTTTCAAATTTAGTCATGGACCCTCTAACCTGTGCTGTTAACTTGTCCATAAGGAAGGTATCTTTAATTTTTTGCAGTACCACAGGGATCGTGGGTGTCTCCCTTTGTAACCATACCTTTGCCAATGCCAGCCTTGCGGCTAAGGTTAGTTTATGTAATAGGTTTTGTTCAGCTTTTGTCTAATCTTCAATCGATCTGGCAAAGAGGAGCACCCAAGGGTCTAATTTGACCTCTTTTTCAAAAATGTCACCCATTAACGTTGCAATCCATTTCCAATAGGCCTGAGCCTCCTGGCAATCCCACCACATGTGGATATAGGTGCCCCGTAGTCCGCAGCCTCTCCAACACAAATCTGTGGTAGGTTTATTAATTCGGAACAATTTCACCGGCGTAGTATACCGTCGAAATAAGGTCTTAAATGCAAAGAGACACAGGCTGCTGCCTCCGAAATCTCCTGCCACTCTATGCCTTCTAATTCCTCGCCTAGGTCAGCCTCCCATTGTTCTGTGTATGTAATCTGTCCCCATTCTAGCATTTGCGTACTCAATTGGGAGTATACGTATGAGATTAACCCGCTCGGGAATTGTTCCCTAAGGCACATTCCTTCAAATTATGTAAATCGTGTGAGGGCCGCTTTCTTAACTTGCGGGTCTTGGGCGTAATCCCTTAACTGTAAGTATCGTAAATAATCAAAAGTTCTCAATGGGGCCCTAGTTTTCAACTCCTCGAACGTCACCAATGAGCCATTTCAATCTCTGCAGTCCCGCATTCTCAATACTTCTAAAGTCCCTTGCTATCATTCCCGGGGGGAACTCTCTGTTCCTTAGGAACGGGGTCATCGGTGAGGGGGACGATGCCAAGCTATATTTGGAAGCTGCCTCATCCCATATTTTAAGGGAGTTTGATATTGCGGGGCATGCAACCTGGTTAATCGGTCTATGTTCCTTAGGGATCCACATCATGAACTGGGGTAAGTCTGTACCCAGGAGTGAGGACTCCAAATCTACCCACCTTCTCTCCACGTGATGTGCCATAGTGCTACCTGTGCCAGCTGCACTGCTATGTAATAATAATAAAGATTCGGGAGGCCTAATCCCCCTCTGTTCTTTGCTCTAAAATTTCATCTGTAATTTTAATGGCAAGAACAAAGAAGTACGTTGAGCAGTTAGGAAGTACTGGAATATTTTACAGGATTATCCAATCCTAAATAAGATTCTACCTCAACAACCTAAGTTTGTCTATAGAGGCACTAAAAATCTTACACAATCTTTAGTACATAGTTGCTGTGCACGTAAAATACCCAACCATTTCCTAAACCAAAACATAGGTTATCTTTTGAGTGGCTAATATGTAATTTTTTTTAGGGCTTTATTTATCTAGTCCTCTGTGTTGTTTTGCTTATTTTTGTTCTTATTTGTGTTAGTTTCCTACCTGGCTTTAATTTCTGTCAAAAAATATGCTCTTTTTGATGTTTGCCGATCTCCTATGCAGCCAGGAGATCGGGCTTAAGCATTTCCTTATGTTTATCATTGCTTAGCAACGTGACGTCATGATGCACGATGGCGGCCAGACCCCAGGAGGACTCTGTAAAAATAATAATAATAGGATTCTGTCAAATAATATGGTCGTTTTGATGATTGCCAATCTCCTATGCAGCCAGGAGATCGGCTTAAGCATTTCCTTATGTTTGTTTATCATTGCTTAGCAACGTGACGTCATGACGGACAATGGCGGCCAGACCCCAGGAGGACTCCAATTTTTCACTTTGGGCAGAGGGGGTGGCTTTGGACTTATCCACTGTCTATTTTGTATATAAGTGTGTGAGTGTGTTGTAAGGGGGGAGGGACATGATGCATTGACAAAGGGATTACCCCAAAACGTTTGTTATTTGTCCTCCCAATAAATGTCAGTAGCACCTTGTTTTGTGCACACAGCAACTACTTGCAGAGCCTCTATTTTTTTCTATTTGTTGAGTGGCTAAGAAGATTCACCTTGAAGATTGCCAGTGTATACTACCTTTTACTCTATCTGAGAGGGAGACATGCCTGAATTTCCAAACATCCCCCTGTGTTGATTATACTGCACTATATTTGACCTAGTGATTCCATAATATTTTTATACAGGTTGTATATATTTTTATAATATATTCACTTGGTGATTCCCATATGTATTTTATTTTCCCATTTTGTCTCTTTCGTTTTTATCAGTAACGCTGAGAGGGTCTGGAGGGCCAGAGGTGGAGAGACCTCTTTAACGCCAGATTTGAAGTCATCAGCCAGGATTTCTGGCATCGCATTAACTCTCTGCTCTGCAATATCTACTCATCCATCTGCACAGAAGACCCATGCTGCAGAATTAACTTCCCTCTCTTTTTCTGGAGCTATTTCCAAGCCACCGTCCATACACTCATAGAACCTGAGGGCACTTGGAATTACTAATATATACAAATGAATAACACACGTGTTCACCACAGTGGGAAAGGGTTAAAAATAAAATTTACCCTAATACGGGAATAGATTGTAAAAAGATCCCTTGTTCTCCTTTACATACATATACAAAAATACAAAATACAATCTAAAAATGTAAATAGAGAGAAATAGCAGGTAATGGTGTAGAATCAATGTCACCAAGCAAAGCGCTGAGTAGAATTGCACTCACAAAATATTCTTTGACTGCAGGCACATAAAATATTAAAGATGGAAGGAGCTCAGTCCTCTTCTCTTTCTTCCTTAAAAGGGGTTTAAAACAGAGAGACACAAAACATAGTGCACCAATAAAAATAAAATGTATGTAATTTATTTTAGATTGCACTCACAGGATATCTGTAAAATTCAGCTTATCACAATGAAGTCTCTGAACAGACTGTGAAGCTTTCAGATGTTCCTTCCGGTCAGCAGACAAAATAGGATAGTCAAAAAAATATATAAACGAACTTAACAAAATAAACAAATAAAAGTCCAATAAAAATTATTGTGCTAAAGGGGTCTCTCCGCCCTACGCGTTTCGTTCTCTCGAACTTCGTCAGGGGAAGTTGTGTCAGAGTCCTAATTCACCTTCCTCCATCTTTTAAATGGACTCTTGGCGCCTTTTTCGCCGTTCTGACGGCGCCATGTGGAGTGGAATCACCTGAGTCCGTGTGCGTTTCAAGCACAACACTTCCGCGTATCACTAAGAAAAGATACTTCCGGTATCGTGTGGAACGCACCATGCGTTCCAAATAACGAACCGGAAGTTCCAAAGAAACTTTCATTCAACCATACATAATACGAAATGAATTGTATATAAATAAATAAAAAGATGCAGAAAAAAAAACTGGAAAAGATACTATTGTGAGTAAATGAGATCACATAAAATACATGTGTAAATAATATATGGAAAACCCAAACCTGTGGGTATGAGGCTTATATAGTTTGTATACAGGGGCTTAAATACCATCCAAAAGACTTAGATACAAAAATCTCAAGAGCAAAAAAGGGACCAGGGTGAAGGACTACTAAATCCAATGAAGGGATTGAAAGGAGATAACAAAATATAAATAAAAATGATAATACTGACAACTATGATGTTATTATTAATAATAATAAAAAAATAAAAATAAATGTGCAAAAAAAATAATAAATAAAAATGAAAATAATAATAATAATAATAATAATAAATATCGAAAATTAAATGACCTCCTTTCAACTCCCACAATGCAAAATAGTGTAAACGTGCAGAAGTGGCTACAGTGGGGTGGAAAAAGAGAACAGAACTTCTCGACTGTAGGGAGGGGTATTGCAGAGCTGAGAAAAGGAAAAAATCATAAAAAACATGCCATGTCAAAATCGACATTTAGGCCTATTGGAGAAGAGGTTTTAAGTGTAAAAATCCAATAGCCCACTCTCTGCCTTAGTTTCTTGATCAAATCTCCTCCTCTTTCGTCGAGGGTTACTTTCTCTTTACCAGTACATAGAAAAGTTCTGAAATCAAATTAGGGCAATTGTTACAATGGACCGGAACTGAGTGTGTTTGTAAGTTTTTCCTTATGTTGTTACAATGCTCTAAAAACCTTACTTTTAATGTTCTACCGGTCCTCCCTACGTACTGCAGGCCACAACCGCATGTTAGTAAGTAGACCACGTTAGTACTATTACAATTAATGTAATCTTGGATTTTAAAATTCAACCCAGTCTTTCTACTTTTAAACTCGACTGTTTTTTTTTTTTGGTAGAAACATAGAAACATAGAATGTGACGGCAGATAAGAACCATTCGGCCCATCTAGTCTGCCCAATCTACAGGCCTTACATTTCCCGCATTTATAAAACCCTTTAAGGGTGATATCTTTCTTAAATTTGGTTCTAAACATGCTTGGAGCTAAAACATTTTTAAGGTCTCTACTTTTTTTGAAAATGATTTTAGGGAACGATGAAATTTGATTGCTCAAATATTCGTCTTCCAATAATAAAGGCCAATATTTTTTTAGAACTTTTTTAATCTGTGGAGCATGAGCATTATATTGGGTGATGAAAGGTGGAACTGAAAAAGCATCATCTTTGTTCTTACTTATGGCTTTGTCTATTAAAAAATGGTCCCTATTTAGCTCCTTACATTTATTAATCTCCTGGTCTGAAAGAGAATTGGCATAGCCTTTTTCAATGAACTTCTTTAGGATCGCAGATTGTTCTAAAAAACAATCAGCATCCGAACAATTTCTCTTAAGTCTTGTAAACTGGCTACGGGGAACACCACGTAGCCAGTTGGGATAATGAGCACTCTTTGTGTGGATGAAAGAGTTAGTCGGTCAGCTTAAAGAATGTCTTAGTCTTAATGATAGAATCGTCTATATAGATTGTTAAGTCTAGAAAGTTAATAATGCAAGGATCAATTTCTGGGGTGAAACGTAAAGACTGGTCATTGTTGTTGATAAAAGTAAAAAAATCTTTAAGTCTGTCAGTAGAACCCTACCAGATGATAAGGATGTCGTCTGTATCTCTGCCAGAGCACCAAGTCCGCGCCAAAAGGGTTATTGTTCCAGACATTAGCTGTCTCCCAGTTGTCCATAAAGATGTTGGCGTAACTTGGCACGAACTTAGTGCCCATGGCGCTCCCCTGTACTTGTAAATAGAAAGCCTTATCAAAAATGAAAAAATTGTGCGTCAAAATTAATTCTATACTCTCCAAAAGAAATTGGCAAAAAAGGGGAGAAATATCCGAGTCAAATTCCAGAACACGTCGTACCGCCCTAAGTCCTTTCTTGTGGTCTATACAGGTGTATAATGAAGTGACATCCAGAGTTGCCAACATGTAGTCCTCTCTCCATTCAATGCATTTGAGTTCCTGTATCAGGCTTTTTGTGTCCCTAAGGTAAGATCTCGCATTTTGAGCATATCTCTGGAGATAGAAGTCCACAAACTCGGACAATCTGGATTTCAAAGAGTCCACACCACTAATGATAGGGCGTCCTGCAGGTTGTGAGATAGACTTGTGGACCTTTGGGAGAAAATAAAAGGTAGGAATCCTAGGGAAATCTGCAAATAAAAAGGAAAAGTTCTTATCGTCAAGGATACATTGACTCTTTGAATTCATTAGAAAATCTTTGGGTTTTCTGTTATATTCCCAATTAGGATTATAATCAAGTTTAAAATACGTACTTGTATCTCCCAAGAGTCGATGGGATTCATTCAAATAAAACTGCGTTGGCATTACCACTATCCCCCCTCCCTTGTCCGCATTCTTGATCACAATGTCATCCCTGCTCCTTAGCTTCTTAAGAATATCATTTTCATTTGCTGTGAGGTTAAAGTTTGTTATTTTGGGATTTACTTTCTCCAAGTCCTTAATAACAATTTTAGAGAAGGCCTCTATGTGACTACCTTTATCACTTGGGTAGAAAGTGGATTTTGGTTTAAACGGGGTCTCATTAATTTTCATCTCTGGTGGACTAAGGTGGGGCTTGAAAAAACAAAAGTTTATAGGCGCTCTCTATAATACAACAAATAAGTGAGGGCTACTGTATACAGTACAAGGATTCCCAAAACCTTGTGTAATAGTGAAACAGAGATAGAATATGGCGTATACTGCGTCCAAAATCATACGTACATACAACTGCAGAAGGAGGGGCTGTTAAAAACCTCAGGATAATAAAACAAAAAAACAATAATAGTGCAATACAATTTGACAAAGTGCAAGATATTAGCTTGGTAACTGTAGGAAAACCACTCACATTTGATAGAGCTATGTATGAGCTCTGCTGTATAGCGTGTGGACGGTATGATCCGCGTCTAAGGATATAGGATGATAGAGATGGTACTGAACCTCCAAATGCGAGTGCAGATATTGATGATAAATATAAAAGTAGAAGAGAGAAAACTCTGATAGTATAGTAAGTACCCCCTTTTTCTTTCTTAGCAAAAAATCTTTTAAGGGTTAATGTCCGAATAAATTTGTTCACATCTACAAAGAGATTAAAGGGATTAGACAGTGAGATTCTTTAAATTATCCTTCTCAAAGTCTATAATGACTCCCATTAAAATTTTGGAGCATTTCTCCAATGCTGCATCCCATCCGTTTGGAATGTTCTAAGCCATTTGCTGGCATTTTATTAAGGCGTAAACCTCTAGGAATTAAATCCTCCTTTATATATGATTCCAGAAAGGAGATTTCCCACCATTTCTTTGTTTCTTTAGTGGCTAGTTTTTCCTTTTTTTTTTTTTTTTATTCAATGACTTTATTTTGTTGTGCATTTAGTAGAATACATTTTAACTTGTATTGCCACGACAGCAATGACAAGCCTGGTAATACAAACAGTTGGTTCTGTACATAGCATGCGATAAATCTGCACATTTTTAAAGTAGACAATGAACAGGCTAAACAAACATAGCTAGGTCAGGTTGCTAACAAGAGATAGGTGCCTATTGTAGATCGACATGCGAAGATTAAACATACCATTGATGATCAAGCTTTTTATGTTGCAAGGCAAGCTGGGTTATACAGGCTAGGTTTAGCTTTGTATGGGATTGAGTAGTGGGCGTTTGTTGCATTCATTACTCAAGAAACATAGACAGTGCACTTATAGTAATTTAAGAGGAGTGGACAACATTGTGGAAGCATATTGCATACACGCTACAGTGTAAGGAGTCGTACATGTTAACCATTATACAGTGTATTGCTTAGTAAAAAGAGTGACACGAAGGACTAACTTGATATGTTGGATTACAGCTGTGTACATTGAGCCATTTATACGTGGGAGAGCGGGTACAGGGCTTAAGTAGCTCTTGTGATAGTTAAGTTCTGTGCGCCAGATAGAGTAAAATAATAATAAAAGAGGGGTGGTGCCCCCGAGCATAAGGGGGCCTGAGGGATAGGGCCCTACGTGAAGATCCCTGACTGAGTCCTCTCATGGATCCCAGGGACCTTGGTCCATGCACGTGCGGCCGGGATGTATGTAAAAAAAAAAAAAAAAAAGGTGATATATATAAAAAATGGGTAAATGAATAAAAAATGTGAGTAAATAATGTTGAGGGGGGGGGAAGGGGAGAGAATTACGTGAGGATAGCTGGCTGCTTGAGGTGGAAGCTATCGCTGCTTAGAAGTGTGTCTCGTGCCTCCCCTCATGCCTTTGTTCCCAGATGAGACTTAGAGGTAGCGTAGAGCCTATAAATGGCAGTGCTCAGTGCAACGGTAACTAGCACCCGGGTGCGCCAACTTATGCAGTGTCGCCCTAAGGCCATAAGAGCAACTTCGGTGCATGCAGTTAACATAGGTCTTTAACATTCGCAAAGCTCAGGTATTCGTTGCAGCTTGTCTGCGTAAAAGTTAAATCATATAAAGTTTGTGATGATTTCCATATGGTGAGAGGCAGTCGTTATGCACGTAGGGGCAAGAATTTAAAGTTAGCCCACCCAGAGGCGCTTTATCTCGGCGTACGGCCACCATCTAAATGTTTAGCTTTGCGTGTGTGCGCCAGTGTGTGGAATTAGTGTGTGCGCTAGTGTTTGGAACTGCATTAGGAACTGTACTCGTCGTTTACTGTTAGCATTCATCTGAGTCTGTGGGCTGTTTAACCCTCAACTATGCGACCCGTTAATGTAGTAATATGCTAATAAGAAAAGCTTATGGTAGTGAATTAAAAACATATAGTGTTAAGTCCTTGCTGCCTAGTCAGATGCTCCACAATCTATATTACCTTGCATATTTATGGCTGAAAAGAGCATATAAACAAACACATTACATTATGTACATTATAACCGCCTAACCTATTATAATTCTGACTTGTGGAGTTAGAGAATGCTTATGATTTGAGGGCAACTAGCATTAGTGCATAAGCTGAACTGAGTGACAGAGCGTTCCCTAAATTCTTTAAGTACATGGATATATATGCTAACTAACAATAGAGTAGATGCAAACAAAAAAATGAAAAATGTGAACTGTAAACTGCAGGGTGGCCATGTTAGGCTACATGGATGTCTAAGGGGAGTCTCTCATGGCACTGCTACCACACTGACCCCGGGCAGCCAGGCCTCCTTCCGTCCTCCCTATGCCGATCTCTGCTCACCGGTCAGGTCTCCCGTGGCACCGTGGGCACTCAGGAGCGTAAACTGTCCACCGGACCCCACCACAAAGTCCACTGGTTGTCCACTCCCTGCACCTCCCCAGCTCCACTTGAGTCCCTTGAAGTGTGCGTTCCAATGTCTCACCCGGTGCCGGCCACACATTTGGAGTCGATGCCCATCCCCCACGACCACCGGTCCGTCGGGAGGGTAGCGCGGTTCCACCCCACAGGGCTCACGGCTTCGGGGACAGGTCTCTCCGGGGACCCCACAAACCCAGAGGCTTGGGCGCCCACTCCCCAGCGGTCAGTGGCACAGCATGGAAGATCCGTCCAGTGTTCGGCCTTACCAAGGCCCGTGTGGGCCGCCCATGCTAGACCCCTTTTGGTGCCTGGAGTGAGTCTTCGGGCGGGCTCGTTTCTTGTAGCCTTTACCCGTTCAGGTGGTCGGCTCGGGCCCCGCGCGGTTTCCTCCGCCCCGGAGGGTGCCGCTTCCATGCGGCCGGGGGCGGGGGGGGGAGCGGAGCCGGGCCGTCATCCGCAACTGTGTGGCCTCCATGTAGGCCTTATAGCTGGTATACCTTTATCTTTGGGCTGCTGGTCAGTGATCTGTGCGTCTTCAGGGGTTGCCATCGTCCAGGCTTATGATGGCGAGTAGGCCGCTTCGTTGTTTTCGGTGTTCCCGGCCCAAATCCGGCCTCGGTGTGGCATCCCCCTGAAGCTTGGGTGTTTCTCGTTAAGTATATGTCGTTTATATCTGGTTTGGGGTGGTCTGAGTGTGGATTTATTGCAGTTTTCCGGGCTCAGGCCAGGAGCTATGGTGTTCTGCTGCCTTTCAGCTCGGCGGCCCGGCCCCGCCCCCAGTTTTTCCAACTTATAAAAATAAGTGTCTAAATTTAGTTTTTGAGGTTGTCTGCCATCATTTTGTGAACTTAGTGGTTCCTTAATATTTTTATACAGGTTGTATATATTTTTATAATATGTTCACTTTGGTGATTCCCATACGTGTTTTGTTTTCCCATTTTGGCTCTTTAGTTTTTATCAGTAACACCGAGAGGGCCTGGAGGGCCAGAGGTGGAGAGACCTCTTTAATGCCAGATTTGAAGCCATCTGCCAGGATTTCTGGCATCGCATTAACGGGCGCTCTGCAATATCTACTCATCCATCTGCACAGAAGACCCATGCTGCAGAATTAACTTCCCTCTCATTTTCTGGAGCTGTTTCCAAGCCACCATCCATACACTCACAGAGCCTGAGGGCACTTGGAATTGGAAGGTCTATGGACTTGGGGCACTTCAAGGTCTGGGGCCAATGTTACCGCGACCTTTGGCTCTGCAATTTAATATACGACAGACAACAAGAAACCCAGCACATCCTGAATTATCAGGCAATGGAGAGAGGGGACAGCAAGCCTGGTATGGGGTTGGACTTTCTATTATGGCCTAACTGCAGCATAGGGTGATTAAGCCAGATGATAGCTCTATGTACCGAAGGCATCATCTCCGTTAATATAGTAGATCTATGCTTATATTTTATGTCTTATGCTATTTGCATTTTTTTCTCATATCTAATACCCAGTGGTATTCCTGCTAATCATATTGTCAGTTAGCATAGCCTGAATTATCTATTGTCCTTTATTAGAAATATACTTATAAAGGTGGAGCGCTAATGACTTCAGGAACACCCAGAAAATCTTGAGGTTGTTCCAGCTCAGAATCGCATAGAAAAATAAAGAGAGCAAATCATAGTGGAGTATGATTTTAACACAGAACATTATGCAAATTTATTATGACAAATTCTAGACATATAACACTCCTATCTGTACTTAGAACTGAGTGATAATAGACATAAAACAGTACAAAAAAGGTTAAAATTGGCCTCTTACAAGAATATGGTAGTGAGCATATGCAGTACCAACTGCTACTCACAAAACGCTTATGGTTCTCAAGGAACGCTCTGTATAGGATGTAGCCGGTAGATGCAACAGGAATCCTCCATGGATAGATGTTAAAACCTTTGCAACCAGAGTCCGTGATCCGAGCGTCCCAGTGCTGTTTGAGATTCGCAGGTATTCAAACTCCGCCCTCTATGGTAAGCGTCACTTATAGAAACATAGAAACATAGAATGTGACGGCAGATAAGAACCATTCGGCCCATCTAGTCTGCCCAATTTTCTAAATACTTTCATTAGTCCCTAGTCTTATCTTATAGTTAGGATAGCCTTATGCCTGTCCCACGCATGCTTAAACTCCTTTACTGTGTTAACCTCTACCACTTTAGCTGGAAGGCTATTCCATGCATCCACTACCCTCTCAGTAAAGTAATACTTCCTGATATTATTTTTAAACCTTTTGTCCCTCTAATTTAAGACTATGTCCTCTTGTTGTGGTAGTTTTTCTTCTTTTAAATATAGTCTCCTCCTTTACTGTGTTGATTCCCTTTATGTATTTAAATGTTTCTATCATATCCCCTGTCTCATCTTTCCTCCAAGCTATACATGTTAAGATCCTTTAACCTTTCCTGGTAAGTTTTATCCCGCAATCCATGAACCAGTTTAGTAGCCCTTCTGAACCCTCTCTAAGGTATCAATATCCTTCTGAAGATACGGTCTCCAGTACTGTGTACAATACTCCAAGTGAGGTCTGTACAATGGCATGAGCACTTCCCTCTTTCTACTGCTAATACCTCTCCCTATACAACCAAGCATTCTGCTAGCATTTCCTGCTGCTCTATTACATTCCGTAGTTGTCACCGCGTCTACGCGTAAATGGCTTCATCAGGACGTCAAGTGGTGATGTCACCTCGTCGTGGGAATTCCATTTCAGAAGCAACTCGCTCACAAACTATTGGGCGAGCGCGGCAGGCTCAATTTGCATAATGCGATTCACACATAGGCAGTCTACATAAGTCCATACTTATAACCAAAGGGTACATAAAAAACCACTACTCATATGTCACATCTTAAAATTAGTAAAAACAATACAGAAACTTTTTACATGAATCCATAAAACAACATAGAAAAATATATAAAATGGGAATAAATCGAATACACAGTAGAGCTGCTACACACCTGTGTGAACCCAAACACACAAACAAAAAAATACAGAAATATACTTATACTACGGAAGTGAGGCTTACCATAGAGGGCGGAGTTTGAATACCTGCGAATCTCAAACAGCACTGGGACGCTCGGATCACGGACTCTGGTTGCAAAGGTTTTAACATCTATCCATGGAGGATTCCTATTGCATCTACCGGCTGCATCCTATACAGAGCGTTCCTTGAGAACCATAAGCGTTTTGTGAGTAGCAGTTGGTACTGCATATGCTCACTACCATATTCTATGATTTGCTTTCTTTATTTTTCTATATGATTCTGAGCTTGAACAACTTCAAGATTTTCTGGGTGTTCCTGAAGTCATTAGCGCTCCACCTTTATAAGTATATTTCTGTATTTTTTTGTTTGTGTGTTTGGGTTCACACAGGTGTGTAGCAGCTCTACTGTGTATTTGATTCTATTGTAAAAGTCTTGTTTAAATACTTTTTCCAAGTGGTGGGATAGGAGTTTTTGCTACATTTTTTCCCCCCATCAACTTCTTATAGCTTTTATATTTATAAATTTCTTTTTCTAATGTCCTTTATTAACTCATTGCTGACGTATTCATTATCTTGTTTACTAGCCTGATTTTATTTTCTTAAAAATTGTGCAGATACAGCGAATGTCATGTTAATGTTTTCTCATGCCTGTTATTTTGAATGCTTACTAATGCTGTTTTTACATTGTAAGCTTGACTGTATTTAAGTGCACAGCAAAAAAAAAAAAAAAAGAAGGAAGGAAGGCTTAGAGTAAAACTGTTCCTCTTTTTTGCTTTAGTCTAACTTTGTTGCCCTAACAACTGAGCAGAATTTGAAAAAGTGGAACTTGAAACTGAAACGAATCTTCCTCTTGAATATATTGAATATAAAGGAACACACTGATTTAGAAAATTAACAATTTTTGCAGTGTTGCAGGGTGCATTATCCTGCTGAAAGAAACCACTGCCATCAGGAAACACGATTGCCATGAAGTGGTGCACATGGTCCGCAACAATCTCTAGGTAGGTCGTATGTGTCAAGGTAACATCCTTGTGAATGCCAGGACCAAAGGTTTCCCTGCAGAACATTGCCCAGAGCATAACACTGCCTATTATGGACAATGGCGTCACTAGGGGGCGGGGCCGTAGGGGCCCATGCCCCACCCTACATTATGTTGTGCCCACCCCAATTCAAACATGGTACTGACCTATGTGAGAAGAGGCGCATCGCGGTGGAAAGCTCCGCCCCTTGTGATAAGCCACACCCACTTTTAAGCTCTACCCCCTGCCCGATGAACCTCAGAGCTCCTTGAAGGCTGGCTGGGCTGGAAGGTGAGCAGACACAGGGGAGAGGGGCTACATAAGGGCACAAGAGGGGTTGGGGGTAAAGAGGGCACAGGAGGGGAGGGGGCTACATAAGAGCAGAGGAGGGGAGGGGGTTACATAAGGGCACAGGAGGGATGAGGGGCTAAAGAGAGCACAGGAGGGATGGGGACTAAAGAGGGCACAGGATGGGGAGCACAAATAGATACACAGGTGCTGGGGAAAGGCACACATATGGGCTGGGGGACACAAAGATACGCAGAGGGGGAACAAAGACACACTCAGAGGGGCTAAGGGTAAACAAAGACACACAGGAGGACACGGGGGGAACAGACATACAGAGGGGCTGTGGGCACAAAAAGACACACAGAAGGGCTGGTGGGACATAGAGGAACCTAAACCACACCCCACTTTTAAGCTCCACCCCCTGCCTGACGAACCTCAGAGCTCCTTGAAGGCTGGCTGGGCTGGAAGGTGAGCAGACACAGGGGAGAGGGGCTACATAAGGGCACAAGAGGGGTTGGGGGTAAAGAAGGCACAGGAGGGGACTACATAAAAGCACAGGAGAGGAGGGGAGGGGGTTACATAAAGGGCACAGGAGGGATGAGGGGCTAAAGAGAGCACAGGAGGGGATGGGGACTAAAGAGGGCATAGGATGGGGAGCACAAATAGATACACAGAGGTGCTGGGGAAAGGCACACATATGGGCTGGGGGACACAAAGACACGCAGAGGGGGACAAAGACACACTCAGAGAAGCTTACTGTAGACAAAGACACACAGAGGGGTTGGGGGGGGCACAGACATACAGAGGGGCTGTGGGCACAAAAAGATACACAGAAGGGCTGGTGGGACATAGAGGAACCTAGAAGCACTGGGGGGGGACAAAGAGACACACAGAGGGGCTGGGGAAGAGGAAAAAGAGACACACAAAGGGAGTAGGGGTGGAAACACACCTGCTGGCAGAAGAAAGAGGCCTGCTAGCCACAGCTGCAAGCCTGTATGCTAACCAGCCACAGCAGTCTGCCAGCTGTCCACATCAGCCAGCCTGGATCGGCCATGGCGAGACACATGATCTGCAGCTCTGCTCCCAGCAGAGAGAGCTGCAGACTGAACATCATGGCCACTGGACCACTAGGGAATGGATTTCTTTAAAAAAAAATTATTTTAGTGTGGGGAGGCTGCTCACTGAATCTCTGACTTGTGTCACTCTTCTCCCACTTGTCATTCCACACAATATCACACATATTCACTGTTACCCCCCACACACAAATACACTGTCATCCCCCTCACTCACTGTCACCCACACACATACACTGTCAGCCCCCCACACACATTGTCACCACTTACACACACGCTGTCACCCCCTAAACACACATTGTCACTCCTTACTCACACAATGTTACCTCTACACACACAGTCTTCCCCCTAAACACACACTGTTACACCCCCACATACAGTCACCCCCCCTACACACACTCTGTCACCCATACACACACGTTGTCACCACTTACACACACATTTCACTGCCCCCACACACACATACACTGCCCCACACACACATACACTGCCATCCATACACACATTGCCCCATACACACATACACTGCCCCCATACACACACTGCCTCCACACACATTGCCCCACACACACACTGCCCCCATACACACACACTGCCCCACACACACCATACACATTCACACACTGCCCCCCATACACACATTGCCCCCCACACATACACTGCCCCACACACATACACTGCCCACCCATACACACACTGCCCCACTCACATACACACAGCCCCCCTTACACACATTGCCTTACAGACACATGCACAGCCCCCATACACACATTGCCCCACACACACATACTCAGCCCCCATACACACATTGCCCCACACACACACACTGCCCTCCAATACACACATTGCCCCACACACCCTACACATTCACACACTACACCCCCAACACTGAACTCCTCACACATTGCACTACTCACACACATCACTGCTCCTATGCCCTACTACAGCACCATATCCCAGCAGACCCCAGGTAAGTTGTCAAACTGTTCTTAAACGGTTTGACTATTTACTCTGGGAGGGGTAAGCTGTAGTGGTTATTGTGCAGAGCTGTAGTGGTTATTGTGCATGTATTATTTCTTTAAATAATGTACAAGTGCCCCTCCCGAGATCAGGCTCTGGATGCGCCACTGTCTCAAATACCTCCACTATTCAAGATGGTGGCTGCCTTTCCTCAATGTGTGTGGGCCCTTGGCCTGTCTCAGCAGCCCCCATGCAGTCATTCGCACAGGCAGATAGTGGAGTCCTCTTCTCCGACCAGGGATGGCTTGAGGCAGATGCAAACAACTCCACTTAGTAATTTTCAATCGCTTCTGGGCAGCCTTGGAAGTGCGTATGCCAACAACATCGTGTCTACCTTTGGCAAGGGACCGGAGGAGAAAGCTATGGGGATCGAAGTACCCACGCCGGACATCACATGTGAAAAAACACTTGTACTTACTGTTGTTTGCCCACCTGGGTTGAAAGCTACTAGGGTGTTGGCCCCATTGCAACATCCACACAATCATTAAAGGGACACTATAGTCACCTGAACAACTACAGTTTATTGAATTTGTTCTGATGAGTAGAATCATTACCTTCAGGCTTTTTGCTGTAAACACTGTCTTTTCAGAGAAAATGCAGTGTTTACATTACAGCCTAGTGATATCTTCCCTGGCCACTCCTCAGATAGCTGTTAGAGATCCTTCCTGGGTGTAATGGCTGCCTAAAATGCATCCAAACATTCGGTGTATCCTCCCTCTGCATGCAGACACTGAACTTTCATCATAGAGATGCATTGATTCAATTCATCTCTATGAGGAGATGCTAATTGGCCAGGGCTGTGTTTGAATCATGCTGGCTCTGCCCCTGATCTGCCTCTTTGTCAGTCTCAGACAATCTCAGACAATACTATGGGGAAGCATTGTGATTGGATCAGGCTACCACTCCTGCTGATGTCAGCAGGCAGTAGGCATGTCAAAAGGAAAGTGTCAAAGCCAGCAGCTTCAGTCTTGAATACAAGTAAGATTTGCTATATTTAGGGAGGCATGAGGGACCAAGGTGGCTAGATGGTGGTTTTAACACTATAGGGTCGGGAATACATGTTTGTGTTCCTGACCATATAGTGCTCATTTAAGTATACAAAAAAAAAATCTTCGATTACTACTACTACTTTTTACTTATTACTACTTTTGCACAATATATAAGTTTTCACTTTTAAAACTTTATTCAACACCTTTAACTTGTGTTAACATTTTTTTTTTTTTAATAGGATGCTCTATTTAAAAAAAATCACATTGCAAAATGGTTGGTCCCATTACAGGCATCCTAATCAGTACAGATAGCTGTTGTGGATATGAAGTTCATAGTATCCCTTTAAATATAACAGAGAAGTAAACACATTATGACTGTTTATAGTTCTGTAGCTATTGTTGACATCTGATCATCAGCCACCGCTACAACCCAGCTCGGCTATGTGATTCCTATTTTTAAGGAAAGCTCAGAAGTGACAGTTCCACTTTCAGGTTGCTGAAGTAAGTACTTTATGTGTGAAGAGTGTTTCCTCTTTTTCATTTTACAAAAAGTGCAGATTTTAATAGAAATTGACACGTTTATAAATTAACTTTGTTACACTCCATGGCTTTCAAACGACAAACGGTCCTGTTACTTCCTGGTTTGTTTAGATCATTGGAGCTAAACTCAAGAGACAGCAATTGCTCAGAGCACCTGCCTTGCAAAGACTTCTCATTGAGCTGCATTGTGAAGTCTTTAAATGGACAGCCACAGAAAGTTTGTGCTGAGGGCTTATAAAGGCTAGAGACAGCAGATCAGCAGCTGTTGCAAGCAGTTTTTAAATATATGAAACATGCATGACTAAATGCATGCATGTTTTCAATGAGGGCATATATACTAAACAATTTTTTTTATTTGGCAGTTGGGTGTCACTTATAATAATGTAAAGCTATTTTCATTTATTTATGTATAAGTTGATAGCAGCTGTTGATAATTTCTGGAAAGATCTCTTTACTTGTTTTAGAGTCTAGTTTAGAACAGTATTAACAAAAAGAAAAAAGGATACAGAGGCGCTAAGAACAATAAACACTGGTGCAGCTAAAATTACCCAAGTGTAGTGTCACCAAATACACTTAAAAAAGTGATAAGATAAAAGGAAAAGGTGATTAGCGCACACAAAATATAAAAGATATTACCTTATACAAAATAATACCTCAGGTAATTTTACATTAGTTAGTTCTTGTAACCTATACATAGGTAAATAAAACATACATAGTGTAACCTGTTTCCATAAAATACCAACGGTTGGCGTGACACTTCCGGCCATGACCATATATGGAAGTGGGTGGGATTTTCTTGCACATATGTTGTCATTTGTTAATTTTGCTAATTGCTATTCTCTGATATATAAGACCTTTTTACTTCACTGTGAAACTAGGTGCACTTGAGAAAGACCTATGTAAGGTTGAAACGCGTTGTGCTTTTATTGCTCAAATTATTTGTATATATATAAATTTTTTATTTTTTATTTTGTTATAATAAAAATACCTCCTTATCTACTTTGGAGTTTGCTGCCAATTCATCAGTTCCAGGTTCCTGTGGACACACCTGATGTACCAGCACTATATGTCTCAAGGAAGAGACGATAAGCGCTACAAGTTTAGAGCCAACTTTTAAAAGGCTCTGGAAATTGTGAGTGTGTGAAAGAAAGTTATTCCTCACTTTGATATTTTATGGAAACAGGTTACACTATGTATGTTTTATTTACCTATGTATAGGTTACAAGAACTACCTACTGTAAAATTACCTGAGGTATTATTTTACGTAAGGTAATATCTTTTATATTTTGTGTGCGCTAATCACCTTTTCCTTTTATCTCTAGTTTAGAACAGTTGGAAATATTAACACAAATATTTATTCATAATCTAAGTACAGCCTGGGAAATATTGTGGGAAATATTATGTTGTATATTATTGTTACATCACAGCACTATTGACCATAGATTCCTTTACAGTATTGAGATGGCGAGCCCTTCCACGTGGTTCCTTATTCTGTCCATGGTCATTACGTGCCACTGCGTTCCCTTGTGGTATGACCGAAAAGGGGTGCTGGCAGACGAAGATAGTCAGAGAACTGGAGGCAATATTATTCTTGAAACAAGAGAGCTGGAGGCCAACAGAAATTTAATGAAAATAAAAGCAGTAGAAATGAGTGAAGCAAAACGTACTGAAGTATTCCCTCCCAGCATGCACTTCTTCAAGGCTCGGTACCTCATCCAACAGAGCAAAGTTTTCAAAATCTTACGAGAGATGCCTAAAGGTAAGACATATAAATATTGTTTATAATACTTGAAGTGTGTTGCTTAACCCCTTAAGGAGACATGACATGTGTGACATGTCATGATTCCCTTTTATTCCAGAAGTTTGGTCCTTAAGGGGTTAAAGATTAAGGTCAAAGAAATTCAAGCCAGATTAGCCAGGTTGAACATTTCCAATATTTTGTAGGGGGTTTAAGGTTTTTTGGCAAAGTTTTATTTTTTATTTTTCCAACCACTAACAGAGTTGTTAATTAATATTTTGAGGATTTGAAGATGAGGATTTGGGGAAGGCAGATGTGGTTCCTATATAAAAAAAGAGTTCAAAATCCTTGCCTGTAAATTATAGACCTGTGAGCTTAACTTCTGTGGCTGGGAAAATATTTGAAAGGTTATTAAGGAATAATATTCAGGAATTCCTTGAGAAGAACATGGTTATCAGCAAAAATCAGCACGGTTTTATGAAGCACGGGTGTAAAACTAACTTGATTGTGTTCTACGAAGAAGTAAGTAGAAGTATTGATCAGAGTGTTGAAGTGGATGTGATCTATTTGGATTTTGCCAAGGCATTTGATACAGTTCCACACAATAGATTAGTGTTCAAACTCAAAGATATCGGTCTAGATGAAAATGCTTGTTCTTTGGTAGAACATTGGCTTAAAAATAGAGTACAAAGAGTTGTCATTAATGGTAGATTTTCAAGCTGGACAGAGGTGGCAACTGGTGTCCCTCATGATTCTGTTCTGGGACCCCTTCTATTTAACATGTTTATAAATGGTCTTGAAAAAAGCAAAGAAAGTCATGTTTCACTGTTTGCAGATGACACCAAACTCTGTAAAGTAATACAATGTGAGCAAGAAATTACTTTGCTGCAGAGGGATTTAGGTAGACTGGGGGAATGGGCACTCAAATGGCAGATGAAATTTAATGTTGAAAAATGCAAAGTTATGCACTTCGGCGTAAAGAATGCACAAGCAACGTATACCCTTAATGGAAGCGAATTAGGGATAACAACACATGAAAAGGACTTGGGAATTGTTATAGACAACAAACTATGCAACAATGTGCAATGTCAATCAGCAGTGGCCAAGGCCAGTAAGGTATTGTCATGCATGAAAAAGGGCATTCATTTTCAGGATAAGAATATAATTTTGCCTTCTTATAAATCACTGGTAAGACCACATATTGAATATGCTGTGCAATTTTGGGCACCTGTTCTAAAGAAGGATATTATGGCACTAGAAAAAGTGCAGAGGCGGGCTACAAAATTAATAAAAGTAATGGAACATATCAGCTAAGAAGAAAGGTTAACAAATGTAAACCTCTTTAGTTTAAAAAAACATCACCTGAGAGGGGATATGATAACATTATACAAATATATTCGGGGCCAATACAAACCATTGTGTGGAAATCTATTCCCAAACCGGACTTTACCTAGGACCCAAGGTCATGCGTTTAGACTGGAAGAAAATAGATTTCGTCTAAGGCAAAGGAAAGGTTTTTTTTACTGTAAGAACAATAAGGATGTGGAATTCTCTGCCTGAAGAAGTGGTTTTATCATAGTCCATACAGATGTTCAAATGGCTACTAGATGCATACTTGCAAAAACAAAATATTCAAGGATATAATTTTTCAATGTAATAACTGCTTGATCCAAGGATAAATCTGACTGCCATTCTGCGGTCAAAAAGTAATTTTTTTCCTAGCTTGTTGCAAAATTGGAAGTGCTTCAAACTGTTTTTTTTTTTTTGCCTTCTTTTGGATCAACAGCAAAAAACAAATGTGAGAAAGGCTGAACTTGATGGACGCAGGTCTCTTTTCAGCAATGTAACTATGTAACACGAATAGTTTATTTTTTTTTAAATTCATTGTTTTGTTCTCAAAACACAAGGACTTGTTTCTATGCTTGTCTGTAAAAAGCTGCCATTAAGAATACAACATATTCATATCTAGTAAATGTTGGCATATATAATATATAACCCCCCAGGGATGTAGACAATTGTCCAATGTTCTCATTAAGTACCCCGCTACATATTATATATTATTTGATAAAGAACAGAAATAGCTCCTTTTAATATCCTATATGAATGAATAACATTGTAAAAATGGTAAAAAAAAATGTAAAAAAAAAAGAAAAATTATTCAAAATAAATTTTCATATAAGTCCTGATTGTAAAATGCCTCCAATGTCTTGGATTTCAATACATTTTTGGTAATTTACTTTAACCCTATACCAATTCCCCAACCCTATACCAACCTTACTTAGAGCCGTATTTTTACACTAACTCCACACCTAGTCATACCTTACCCATAAGCCTAACCCTACACTATTTAACTGAGTATTAACCCTTACCTTACAAAAATACTAATCCTCCACTATCACACACCCTAACCCAAATATTAACCCTAACTTATAGGGATTCAATCTGTTGACGTTAGTACTGATATCAGCAGAGGTATTCCCTAGCTTACAGAACTAATCGGATTGTCATTTTGGAGCAATTGCTTTATATCAGGCATGTGCATGGGCAAAAAATTTGGTTCGGTTTGGCACTTCCAAAATTCGGGACTTTGGCAATTAGGGAATTTGGCACTTTGGGAATTCCCTAACCCTTACCCCTACCCCTAAACTAACCCTTACCCTACCCCTAAACTAACCCTACCCCATAAACTAGTAGGGTTAGGGGTTAGGTGTGGGGTAGGGTTAGGTTAGGGTTAAGGGTAGGGTTAGATTCCTGTCATTATTCCGTTAATTTTCCTTCCCTCTCTTGTTTTGCCACTTTTTTAGAAATCCGAAGCACTTCGCACTTCCGAAATTCAGCACTTTTGTAATTCGGTTTGGCAATTCAGGACTTCGGTTCGGTTTGGAAATTCGGCAATTCGGACATTCGGAAGCACCCAAATGTCCAAATTGCCAAAATTCGTCCGAATTTAAATTCGGACCGAAACGAATTGCACATGTCTACTTTATATTGAATTGTTCACCTTTTTTTGGATCACCAGAAGGAACCATGTGTGAAAGTTAGAACTTGCATGGACTTTAGTCTATTTTCTATCTAGATTACTCTGTAACTTTGAAAACATCTCACGGACTCTGAAAATATTTAGTCTTTATTTTTTATATTTATTAAATGCAATTGAATGTAATAAAATATCTTTTTTTTTTTTTTTTTTTACATGAACATACATTCAACTCTATTATAATTGCTTTCACCTGCAGGGGCTGTTTTACATATACATGACTTTGGAGTCCTGAGTGTGGATTGGCTGGTGAAGAATGCCTCCTACCTCCCTAACTGTTACATCTGCTTTACTGATGCCAGTGGAGTAAGGTTTCGGTTCTCTAAGTCAGCTCCTTTGGGACCTTTGCCCCTTGGCTGTTCAGATTGGGTGCTTCTTGAAACCTACAGGAAGAAGGTAGAAGATGTTGTAGAATTTGATAACAGGTGAGTGTTATACAGTATGATTTTATGGACACCCGTACTAATCATGCTTTATCAAGGGCAGCAGTGATTTGTTATATATTTTCCACTTGGTTCCCCATTTAAAGAGCTCATCACCCTTCTAGTGTTGGGAATATTTGGCTACATCATGTCATATATGGCAAACCTTGCTGCAGAAGTTGTTATAGAGAAACCATATAATAACAGCTGCCTTAGAATACAATTACACTGTTTACTTTGACTGTACATGCACGTAGATGTGCATTGGCATACCAATAGATCAATTACATAGAAGCAGGTCTTACACTGTTTCTGTGCTTTATCAGTTCATTGAGGAGAAGCCCTAATATTGTTGGCTGGTTTTTTTATAATTATAAAACATAATATAAAAACTGCAGAGAGGAATTGGTTCAAAATTATAATATATATTAAAAAATCAGTAAGTAATAACTTAATAATAATAACTGATAGGAGCTCAACCCATATGCCATCACTACCATGCCCCTCTGTAGACGATCTGACTCTGGACTGTCTGGCTGTGCATCATTTATGGACAGAAAACAATAACGTAATAACATGCATCATACCCGCTTTTGCACAGGATCGTCATTGTTTTTCTTGGTCTTTCACAGACATCAGTTGACTGCACGTAGGGAAGAGCTATAAATTCACAGCCCTCCCATATCTCAGTGTCCAATTGTGGTTATTTCAGAGGAGTCTCACTATTGCTGCTGAAGTTGCTTTGTTCAATAGTGCTGTTGTCTGTTCTCCTGACCAAGCCTAGCTCTTGACATCATTTGCTTTGTGCTTGACCTTGGTTCTGTTACATCATTCTGTCTCTCTGGTATTCTGACTTTGGCCTGTACCCATTATTCTGGTTTAACCTCCTTGGAGGAACTATTATCTTTAAACACAGCCATTCTAAGGACTGGTGATACAATCCCTGTCTCTCCTTCCCTTTGCCTTTTGGATTCCAACCCTCTAGTTCTCTATAGTTCTCTAGTTACTCTGAGAATAAAATAGCAAATGTAGAAAAACCACTGTCTGAACAATATGCAATTCAAATTAAAAAACATTTTTTTCCAGCCAGTACTAAGCTACTGTAGAAATTATACTAGAAACAGAACTAACTACGACTTTCTACTACATATAAAAACAAGTCAAAGAAAACCGTTTTATACACAATAACTTAAGTAAACTGTATGATTATAGTGCTTAAAGTGTTTCTTTATTCAAAAGTATTTTAATGTACTTAAATCAGCCACTCAATTTCATAAATAATAAATATTCCCTTAATAGAAGCAGTAATTGGTAAACTACTAAAATTAAGAACAGAAAGCTTGGATTTTAGAAACAACCTGCTCTTTGTCTTAGTTATATCCAGTGTAAAGAAATGTTCCTCATCAATCTGCATTCACAATTTGCTTTTAAAAGTTCTTTCGGCCATCAAAATCACAAGCAGTGATTTAACACTTACTGACCATGGCTTGACAAAGTCCCAAGTTGGTGTCGATATGTTGCCTCTCTTGTTTGAGACCTGAATATGCTTCACTAAGAAATTATTATTATTTTATTATTTATATAGTGCCAGAAAATTCCGTAGCACTGTACAATGGGATGACTGCAGAGTGCTAAGAGATTTTTTTACTTTGAATTCAGTCGAGACTTTGAAACAGAGGACCCCACACGTAAACACCTAACTCTTAAATCACAGTATTTTAGGAGGAAGTCCCTGCCACAACAATTTGGGTATATACTCAAGCTGTTAAGTGCCCCATTTGGTGTATATTTTTTACAAAAGAAACATTGTTGGAAGAAGAACAGATGTAAATTTTAATCTATTCACAGCTTGATCACTTTGTACATATGTACTTGTATTTCAGCCTCATCCACAACTTAACACTACTCACGGATACACCAGAGCTGACATACCCAACACAGGATATAATCTGGCGCCGGTTTGAGGAGGCATTTATATCAGCCTCTGGCCTAATCTGCTATGCTCCTGTGTTCAAGGCGTATACATATGAAGGTCTCCGTGAGCTGTATGACGATAACATCCAATATATAGAGATGAGAGCCATGCTTCCCCCGGTCAGTTTCTGTCTGTAGGTATCTTTGTCTTTTATTATTTCTAGTAGTTACAATTCTTGACTAACTTGAAAGAATCCCCACAGATTTATGAGCTTGATGGGACTATCCACGACCGTTCCTGGATGCTGACCATTTACAGAGATGTGACTAAGCAGTTTATGGAAGCTCATCCAGACTTCCAAGGTTTGAAAATCATCTTCACTGTCCACAGGTAAAATGTGGCTTTGTCTGCATATATAGTCCTAGTTCATACAATAGCTTTGTACTTCTATTAAGTGATACAAATATTTTACCACCACTCATAGAATCACAAATGAAAATTCTGTTTTTAACTTCTAGTGTGGTGGAATGTTTTTTGCAACCTTCCCAGAGACCTATACCCAGAGACCTATAATTGCACTCACAATATGTAGACAATATGTAGACTTAGGGATGCCTCCCCTGATGGCTTGGGGGGCTTTTTTTTATTGAACTTTAATTTTTTTTTTGCACATTTTATTCAAGTGAGGTCACTGAGGAAGTGTTTAGTGCCTTCTTGTTAATGTGGATTTTTGTAGCACTGATAACAATATGGGAGTCTTTACATTTCTAGGCATGAGAATGTTTCTCGTGTGAAGGATGCTGTGCTTGTTGCCATCAATCTGATGAAGGAATTCCCCGATATCATGATCGGCTTTGATTTGGTAAGTGTTTCTTACTGTTGACCAATAAAACGCTGGCCAGGAAGAGGAAACTACATGTATATTTACACTGTACTTTTCATACTTTAAAACACACAAGTCACCTATCTGTCTCATTCTTGCATGAAGACACAAACAATGTAACACAAATCTATGGTATTCTGGAAGGATTGTCACCTTCAGAGAAATGTGTATTCATGTTATATGTAAAACTAACTGCAGCCAAAAATAAAGGCAGCAAGGAAGATCAGGTCTTCATACACTAGTGCTGACTGCAGCATCCCTGGTACCCTCGAATGCTTAAGACAATAGCAAGCAGTGATACATTCCAAAACACCAGCCTTGAGAAAAACTCCTCGATGATTGAAATGTTGCCCTGTTCATACTATACTTCAATAAGAATTTCAAATTTTGAGGTAAAATGGTCACATTAAATACAGTGCTGACAATTTTTTCCACATTGGCAATTTTGGCTTAAAATGTGAAATTCACTTTGAATTTCCAACAATTCACAGTTTACACTATACCTGTTTTGGCCAATGCCAACCAGGCTAATGGGTTCGATTAATGTCTCTCCCATTAGCAGAGAATTCATCCTATCTCTGATTTGAAAATGGTTTTATTTTTCCAGGTTGGTCAGGAGGATGCTGGGAATTCTCTGTACCAGTTACGAGATGCTCTCAACCTACCAAGTTTGATGGGAGTCAAACTTCCATACTTCTTCCATGCTGGAGAAACCAGTAAGAAAATTGCTAAACGTATTATGATTTTAAGTATGCAAATATTAGTCTGTCCCTCAATTGTTATTCTTTTCAGTTCAAAGGGCACTAATAACTTTATATAAATGGCCTTCGTGCAAATATCACTATGAGCCATGCTCACATGTATATGTAAATTTTTCAGCAGTAAGGAGTCATGTGAATTACAGATTAATGGTAACGAGAAATGCAACATATCGCAGAACAAATTTAAAGTGGAGCTGACATTGCTGCTGGGGGTCCTTGGCCCCCATGGCAGGTAAAGGTGCCGACGTACAGTATTGATGTCTATGTAGAATCCCACTGGTGACGGCTGGTGTGATTGTCACTTGTAGTTGGTGACAGCTGTGCCCAGTGTCTAGAAGTGTCAGGTGTAGGAAAAATACCAAGACAAAGTAGTTTTAGAAGAGGAGTTCAAATGAGTAACCACAAATGGATCAATGTGAATAAATTAATGGCAGCTGTCTGTTGTAGAATACAGATTTTAGCAATTTACATAAACAGAATGGAAGATAATGGTTCACAGGCTTTAATTCAGTTGAATGGTTAAATACATTTTCTGTCTTGTTCTCCTGATGCTCAATATAACTCTAGTATATGAAATAGTGGCTCATGTGTCACTCTGTTTTTCTGGCAGGCTGGCAAGGGATTGATGTAGACGAGAATGTATTGGACGCGTTGCTGCTAAACACCTCTAGAATAGGCCATGGGTATGCCCTCGTCAAGCATCCAGCGACCCGTGAAATGTCCCTTAAAATGAACGTACCTCTGGAGATATGTCCTGTGTCCAATCAGGTAATTCAAACTGGCATCTTCTATACAAAGCCAGTAATTCCCTTCACTCCTCAGCCATTGTCAGCCGGCAGGGAGCTAATGCGCATTCTTGGACTGGATTTGGGGTTTTAGCTGAAGCCGGATGTTCTAATGCAGAGCGTGAGGACGTCCAACTTCAGTTAGGCAACCAGACGTCCCCTAACTACTAGGAAGTACCTCTAGTGGCTGTCTGGTAGTTAACCCTGCAAGGTAATTACCATATATACTCGAGTATAAGCCGAGTTTTTCGGCACATTTTTTGTGCTGAAAAACCCCAACTCGGCTTATACTCGAGTCAATGTCTGTATTGTGGCAATTTACATTGCCACAATACAGACCAGGACCGCCAGGCTCATTGCAAGCCCGGCGGTCCTGTTGGGGGCTGACAGCGAGGTGTTACTTACCTTCCTGCAGCTCCCTCCTCCTCTGTCAGCTCCGTTCTGCTCCCAGTGTAAATCTCGTGAGACCCGCGGTAAACAGAACGGAGCTGACAGAGGAGCTGCACGGAGGAGGAGGGAGCTGCAGGAAGGTAAGTAACACCTCACTGTCAGCCCCCCACTGAACTGCCAATGCCACTGGACCACCAGGGATTCAGTATTATTTTAGTTTAATAATAATAATAAAATAAAATGTTTTTTTTGTCCCCCCTCCCTGGCCAGGCAACAAGCAGGGAGGGGGGACAAAAAAAAATAAAAAATAAAAATAACGCAAATATTAAAATAATAATATAGTAATATTATTATTTTAATATTATATTTTAATATTATTTTATTATTATATTATTATTTTAATATTTGAATTATTTTAAAAAAATAAAAATTTTGTCCCCCCTCCCTGACCAGGCAACAAGCAGGGAGAGGGGACAATAATGCAAATATTAAAATAATAATAATATTATTAAAATAATAATATAATAATATTAAAATAATATAAAATTACAAAATTAAAATAAAAATGCCCTCCCCTCATCCAGTTTACACACACTGCACAAACACACACACTGCATTATATACGCACACACAACACACACACACTGCATTCATTATATATACATACACAAACACACACTCTGCATTCATTATATACACACACACAAACACACACTCTGCATTCATTATATACACACACACAAACACACACTCTGCATTCATTCTATACACACACACAAACACACACTCTGCATTCATTCTATACACACACTGTAAATAAATATTCAATTAATGTAATTTTATTGGGATCTAATTTAATTTAGAAATTTACCAGTAGATGCTGCATTTCCCACCCTAGGCTTATACTCGAGTCAATAAGTTTTCCCAGTTTTTTGTGGTAAAATTAGGGGCCTCGGCTTATATTCGGGTCGGCTTATACTCGAGTATATACGGTAATGCAGTTTCACAATAACTGCAATAATCACAATTGCAGGGTTAAGAAGACTGTCACAGTGCACAATCAGTGAGCTGAAGTGGTCCGGGTGCCTATAGTGTCCCTTTAATTATCACCGTGCAGTGACAGTTGTTATCTTTTTTATCAGATTCTTGTGATTACTTGAGATGCAGATTAGCAGAAGCAGTAGGGACTTTACTGTGAATATATATTTTTCGTTTTCATTTTTCAAGTTGTTTTTTTTTTTGTGTGCATATTTGAAAAGAGTAGTCATGTCCTTTAAATATATATAATGACCTGAAGTTAAATCTCTCATTACCATCTTTTGTGGAAAGCAAGTTCTACCCTGTATTTGTCAATGAGAGCTTTTTGCAGCAAGTAACACGCCTAATTTTTAGGTTTCCTTGAATTGAACGTTTGTGTTTCAGGTACTGCTCCTGGTGAATGACCTCCGGAATCATCCTGCGGCTACACTGCTTGCTGAAGGACATCCAGTGGTGATCAGCTCTGACGATCCATCTATTTTTGGGGCTCAAGGTGTTTCCTATGACTTTTATGAGGTTTTCATGGGAATTGGGGGCATGAAGGCCGATCTGAGGACCCTAAAACAGTTGGTTATGAATTCTATAATGTAAGTGACAATTTTTGCTTTTAGAAATGGTCATGGTGCAGGCAGTATTTGTGTGTAACATTACTGCTTGAAATGCAACCTATACAGAGAAATTTGTCATTATGTGCTAGGGTGCAGTTACACATACAGCAAACATTACTTCGTTAGCCCAGACCTCTGTTCAAGACTCAATAATGTGAGTTAATTACATCCATCAGCTTGCACTGCGTGCTGGTGACAGATGATAACAGCCTCTTCTCTTGCATGAAGTATTGTGAGTGCACTTGCAATGTGAAGCCTGTTGGAAGTTTAATGCCTTATTAGAATATTGTCACCCTTCATTCCATCTCTATCTCCTTACATGATGTTTCATTTATTCCCCTCAGCGAAAGGGGGAGGAGTGTTGGCTTTATGGGCGAGATAAGCTGTGACTTAGCTCATATAGCTGCTCCTGAACGTGAACACCACACGCATGCGAGGTGTATAATTTATTGGTTAACAAAATTTTAAAAGTATGATACGGTGTAATGACAGCAAAGGCAGGGAAACAATCATGGACAGCTTTGTATGGCACTAGATTTAAGGTAAGTTTTAGCATTAATTTAAATGGTTTTCTAAAAAAAATATATAAAAATGCAGGGGTGGGGAGGTTGGTCGGGCTATAAGTGCCAATATTGCTGCAATGTGGTAACAATGTTTTGTTACTCTTTTCCTGTACTGTTTTTTTTTTTTTTTTGAATACTCTTTTGGTATAAAAGTCTAAGTTTAGAATATGCAATGTGCATGCATTTATTATGAACCTGAATTGCAATGAGAACTTGAGTGAGCTATAAATATTGGATGATTAAGTAAACTAGGATGTAGCTGTAGACATTTTTGTTTTTATTTGTAGATATTGTGTGCACAGTGCTGTATAATTTATTGTTTTATTTTTCATAGTTATAGCGTGTATTCTAATTGCATCCTTAGAGTTAGAGGTTCCTAACTGATGCACAAATTGCGGTAGTTTGTGGACACAGGAAGTAATATATATTTTTTTCTGTGTTTAGTTACAGTGCTTTGTCTCAAGAAGGAAAACAGCGAGTTAAAGATGTCTGGCAGAAGAAATGGGACATGTTTATAGAAGATCTGGCCAAGGATAACTTAGATATGTAAATATTAGAGATATGCCTCAGACTCACTTGGACCCTTATTCAGTGTAATGTGAAGCTGACAGAAGAAAATGGTTGAAAAATCCCAGAAAATAAGAAAAACAAGAAAATAACTTCACAGGATTTTGAATAAGGGTCATGAAGTGAGAGTTATGTGTGACTGGGAAAGTGTGTGAGTGCGTGTGTGAAAGTACAGGATGTGCGAAGAGTGAAAAATGAAGAGAAATTGTGAGCAAGGAGAGAATGAAGGAAAGGAAGAACCAATTCAGATAGCAGAAGGTATGAACGGTGGTCATTAAGTGGTCTGTTCCTTAAGGAATAGTTGTTTTTTCTTTTGCGATGGTACAATCAGTCATCACTGTGCTCTTTAAATTACTCACAGTTTCTCAAGTTAAGTCCCATATATTGGGTACATGATATAGAATAAGCTCCATTACCTATGTAATGAGATCATGTGTTATGAGTTGCCTGCTGTGCCTCATCCTGCATTTTTTGGGTGCTTAGTAACCTTACCTCTTATGAACTCACCAATGCTAAGGCAGAAATATCATGAGATGTTGATGGGTCTTGAGGACAGGTTTGAAGAATATTGCTTTAGTAAATAGATGCCTGATGTAGGAAAGCAGAGTGTTTGAGAAGCAAAGAGAGAACTTGTGGATTGTGAGAGAAAAAGAAAAATTGCCAAAGAAATAAAAGAGAAGAATGTATAAATGAAGCCAAGCATTGAAAAACAAATGATCTTAACATTTTAAATATTATAAGGGCGACTGAATAACAGTATATTTCCCAGGACTGACCTTTAGCCCAGAAAAAAAGAATATGAAAAAAAGTTGCTCAGAAATGCCTGAAATTAAAGGAGTAACATGAAGTATGGGGAAGACTTGTGTAGGGATACCTGAGGTTATGGGAGCAAGTTTTACAAATATTTAAAGAAACACTCTGGGCACCAACACATCTTCATGGTCCCATATTCATGCTTTATTTTCATCCCTGTTCAAATTAATTTAGTTTTGCTTAAAAAATTAAAAAAAGTTTTGCTGTTTCCTGAAGCTTACTCTGCTCCTTAAGGAACACTATAATGTTAGGAATATAAAGCTGTATTGCTAACACTGTTGTGTCCCTTTGCCTCTGCGACACTTTCCCTGGAAAGGTGTTTTCTTTGTTTAGTTTTTTTAATTCATGAGATTTGCATGTGGAGAAAAATACAGCCTCAACAAAAGAGCAAAACGTATCAAATGCACTTAAGATGTGTAGGTGCCTGAAGTATGACTGGAGTGTCAGCTTTATATTACTACTGTTTTCTATATAAGAGGCAATGCCATAATTACTACTATTTGTTGCATGATAAGCCATGTGTGGTTTGCTTTAGAAAGTGCAGAGGGACCAAGTACCCATTTTGAAGTGACAGGAAGAACGTTACATTGTGGGGAGCAATTTATGAGCCCTAGGATAATGTATGCTGGGTTATATTTGGTCTGTCTCTCCTTTTAAGAACGTGACTTCTGATCTATATATTAAAATTGGTGTCTATATATTTAAAATCTACTGAAAAGCATTTAAACAACGGGAAAACCAAACATTTACAATTAATTCTAGGCAGAACTATGAGGCATGTGGAGTACAGTTCATTTTTCTTTATGCTCTTTGGCAAAATAGAGCTAATGTTGGCCTCTGATTGGGTCCTGTGGATGAGTCGGCACTGAGGGGAGTAAAAATATTGAACTTTGTTTTATTATATATTTATGTCTAAATTGCCAATGTAAACCAACCATTAAAAAATTATGATTGGTCAGTGTGTCTAACTGAGTGTGAAGTATGTAGCTGTGTTGCGAGTTGAGTGGGTAGGTGTGTGTGAGAGAAGGTTGTGTTTCATATCTTCAGCCTCCCCACACGTTACATAATTTGGAGAAAAAAAAGTCCTTCTGTGTACCTTTGGGAAGGCAGGGAGTACTCATTCCTGGTAGTCTAGTGGGGCAGTGATCATGGTTTCAGTCCTTGGTGGTCTGGTGCGGCTGTTATACTACTTCCTTGTGGTTTAGTAGTAGAGCTTCTGGTCTGCACTTTCAGCCAAAGCTGGATTATCCATAAGGTGTCTGCTTTGTGCTCGATGGGCCCCCTGTCTGTGCCTGGAGCTCAAGCTCTGTCTTTGAGAGGTTCCTCCCTGAACTGAACTGGATCAAAAGAGCTCCCTACTTGGCAATGTACCAGGAGTGGAAAAAGCAAACCAGTTGTTGACCAATGGCCCAAGGTTCTTGGGATCTCTGTGACCATCTTGGCTTGCCTCATAGACAGGCTGACTCTCTGCTTAGTGCCCTGGTAATTACATTACAAGTACTCTCATATGGGCATAGAGTGGCTGTCTACACATTCTCTGAGAATCAACTTAAGTCCTCAAAGATTATACTTAGGTACAGACCTACAAATGCTACTTGAGAATACCTTACCAATCTATTTTACAACATTACTGTCAATGGTAAGCTCGTTTGAGCAGGGCCCTCTTCAACCTATCATTCCTGTAAGTTTTCTTGTAATTTTCCTATTTATAGTTAAATCCCCCCTCTCATAATATTGTAACGCGCTAAGCAATCTGATGGCGCTATATAAATGGCAATAATAATAATAATAATTGTGTCCAGTCTATAATAAAGCTCATGCTAGGCTAAAAATTAACTATAATTGTAGGTGTTAAACTTATAAAGAAACTGAAACAACTACCTCAGACCAATAGAGAATGACTGAGAAAAAGATATGAATCTTCCAGCCAATTTGCATTGCCAAAACATAGGAAATCTTGCCTTTGCCCACAAGGAGTCATCCCAGCAATATTATTTATTCTGCTTTTAACTTTGTATTACTCCTTAACCCATACAATGTTTTTGCCATTGTTCTTCCTCTTTCAGAAAGTGTCAATGTAATATAGTTTTAAGTGGTTTGTGTAGTCCCCAAGGCCCAGCTTTGTACACCAGAAATATCTAAACCACAAACTAGAATCAAATTGATTTGGGAATTGTAAAAACACCCATTTATTGCTTTGGAATGTTGCTCAGTATGAGACATTGGTGTAATTTATAACATTTTAAACTGACTTCATACAGCTTTTTCCAATGTTTTTTTTTTTTATGAAGAACTACTACCTACAGATATAAAATTCTCATCTATCCAACCTGTACGAAGTTTGATTGTAATTACTTCTTGATGCGTTTGCATTTTTTCTGTGTGCTGGTGACATCTAGGAACTTCACCACAATTTATTCTTCTACCGAGTCCTTCGCTCAATTTCCATTTGCAACCAACATGCATTAAACTTGGCTCAATTATGCTCATATTTAATTCATATATTTTAAACTTCAGTTTAAGTTTTGGGAATCACCTATAATAATTTTTTACAATTATTGAGGCTGTTGTGTTGCACATGTTGTTGAGTCCAAGTTGTTTAATCTGGGAGTGAGGTATCATGCATCGCTCCATAAGAAAATAATTATCCATCATTAAGAACTTAATTATACATATAATAAGTTGGTAAAATTCCTGATTGTTAGCATAGATAGGCACAGACCTCAGTCAGTGCTTCACATCCTCTGCGCGAACTATACCAAATCTAGGCAACCTTTAGCACTCCAGATGTTGTGGACTACATCTCTCATAATGCTCTTACAGCCATAATCTTGGCAAAGCATCAAGGGACTTGTCGTCTACAACATCAGGAGTGCTGAAGGTTGCTTGCCCCTGAACTAGACCCTGTTTAAATCACCAGACTGAGAAGATGCAGGGGCAAAGATAAGTGCTGGTACAGATTTCAACAGCCCTTGCTTTTACAATATGGGTCAAGTAAACATTTGATTGCTTTAAGACAAGGTTCTCGAAACTCTGGCCCTCCAGATGTTACAGAATGATTATCTGCCTATCTATTTCATTCAAAGAATCATGGGAGTTGTACTTCAGCAACATCTGGAGGATCAGAGCTGTGAGAACCCTGCTTTAAGGTGCACCCCACCTGCGGTAAATGGGCTCTTTTGAAGTCTCTTTTGTGACGGTTGTCATCCTGCTCCTTAGTTTAAAAACCCATGCGTATGGCTTTAAAGGAACACACACCATGCACTATAACTACTACAGCCCGCTGTAGTGGTTATACTGCCTGTGTGAGTAGCCAAAGCATTTAAGAACGGTTTTACAACTTACCTGAGATATGCAAGGAACATGCCACCTCCTTTGCCCCTGAAGGCTTTTGCACTGAGCTAACCATAGTAGTACAGGGAGGTGCTTAATGGATGAGAGTGTTCAGCTGAAGCTCTCAGAGGACTGGAAGACTTAGCTCAGTGGAGCTAACGGAAGAAGGAGCTCCAGCTCCAGAAGAGGCAGTTGGGGGTACCTGGTAGATCCCAGGTAAGTTGTCCAACTGTTCTTAAACGGTTTGACTAATTACAATGTGGAGTACCAGGGCACTGCTGGCAGCATAAATACTACAGCAGGATGTAGTGGTGTTTGAAGTTTACATTTAAAGATGGACAAAGTTATATTTTCTGATTAAATGCCCAAAGTAAAGCCTAACCTCAGATAGAACTGCGACTTATCAGAATAATGCATGTTTTAAAGAATTCTAATTTCCAACTACTTTGCTGTTTCTCTGGTGTGTAACAACTAAATGTCTCTAGTGTAGGGCCTATGGGTTGAGATTTCAATTTATCTCCTTAGCACTTTACTTCTACTGTTTCTATTTTATAGGGTGATTTTCCAATAGTCCATAACATTTCTGTATATTAGGTAGATTGTGGGCTCTATGGGGCAGAGATAATAAATGCACTTTTTCAATTACTTAAAAATGTGACTCCTGTACATTGTATGATTTAATGGAAATTTTTAGAAATTTTTATTGTGTTGAACCATCATCCTTAAATTTCATTGACAATATAGATAATTTATACCCTAATTTTTTGTTTGCTTTTTTCTTTCTATATTGAATGTACTTATTTTTACTGCAAATACTGTATTGTCATTATACATTTTCATTTTGATTATTACAAACTTGATCTGTGAGCTTAGAGTGTTTCAGTTGGCTCGAGTGTCCTGTAGATGTCCTAGTGGCATTTCTCAAATCATTTGTGTATGAACTGGCAACTTGCTTGGCTACTATGGCCAATAAAGGTCTGTGCTCATTGACTGAGAACATTCAGCTAATGCTCTCAGCCAATGATCGTATCTCTGAATGGCCCTTCTTAGCTCAGCAGCAGATTCTCCTAAAAAAGACCGGAAGCAGGGTTTGCAGCCACAGTACAGTAAAACATAGTACTAATTAAATTGTAAAGGGACAATGAAGGCACTATAACCATTTAGCTCAATGAATCGGTTACAGTTTCACTGCACTCCATTTAGCGTTAATCCATTTCCAACTAGTTCAGCACTGAATGAGATTCCGTGGCCACCCTTAGCCCAGCCCCCATAAGAGGTAATGGGAGCTCTCTCCTGTGTAGCTAGGATGCACTCATTTACCTTTTAATCACCCATATTTCCTAACCTTAGCCACCTTCAATTGACAAAATATTTAAATCAATACAATGTTGATTGTAGATAAAATATGTGAATAAAACTAAACTTAATAAATATAAAGTCTTCATGGTCAAGTATGGTACAATTTTCACATGAAAGGTTTCATTTTCAGAATCCATGGGACATTTTAGGTGTGAGTAACAGAAAGGGGAAGGGGAAAGGGGAAGGGTGCACAGAAAGGGGAAGGGTGAGATTCAGTTTTTCAAGCATCATACAGAGACAGCACATTGATGCATACAACTGTACATGTCCAGATTCAAGGGTCTACAGTTGCATCAAACACAATTGCTTAACCCCAAATCTAAGAGTCTCCCTGTCAACACCAAGAAAAATGATAGAAATGCATATTTAGAATAGTTTGTACAGCATCTCATGTAATAGGTGCTTACTTCTATTTTAGACCTTCGTTATTTCCTCATATATATGAAAAATAAATAATAATACAAAATATAGTTTAACACAAACTATGTGAATAATAACTAATGAACATAGAGTTCTCACCTACAAACAATTAGTCTATACTGGGCTCTCAGTGGTAGCACTTCAGGGTATGTTCAGGGTCATCCAACAGCCACTCCAGGTGTTTTAATAATGGACAGTCTTCAAATCTGGTGATTGTTTTTTTGCCATAAGCCACGGTAAATATAATTGTGTAAATAGTACCAGTGTAAGAAATTATGACCCTCTTAAAAGGATATTCTTTTAGGGAATGAGTGACACAAGACACAAACACAAGTGTATAATAAAATGTATTGTAAATATTGACTTAGGATACTGTTACAGATTTAAAAAGAATTTCCTGCGACTTATCAGAATAATGCATGTTTTAAAGAATTCTAGTTTCCAACTACTTTGCTGTTTCTCTGGTGTGTAACAACTTACACATTATATCCAGTACATAATCAAAAGATACATAATAAAAGGGCAATACTTAAACATCTAAATGAAGATCTTCCCCTTGCGCCTTCATCTTGGCACCTGCTGCTTGCTGCGCTGTCCTCTCTAAAAAAGACAAAGAGAGAGTCCAACCTCCTTGGCTTTTGTCCTTTTAAAGACTCATTCTTGCTGTCATAAACTACAAGTCCCAGAAATCCCTTTCCCTCCCAAAAGTGGTTTATCACGCCCCATTTTTCCAGAGAGTTCTGTCTTTACACAGAATTCCAGCTAAACTGTAACGTTCTGAAAGAAATGACAGTTAGGGTTGGTTTCTGGGTAGATTAGACAGGATGCCTTGGGAAAACACACACTTCCATGGTTACACCTAGATGTTAATTACTCAGGTCTTCTGATAACATGCATAGAAAACTGGTTGGCAGGAGAACTGTTTGAGGGATGTAAGCGTTTGTTTTAGAGGGGTGTTGTAAAATACAACTGAAAGCTTTGATCCTTATCACACTGTTATCAAGTAAATGACCCCAACTTGTGAAACCAGTCACATACACAGAATATTTTATACAATATTGCAATTTTGCATATCAATTTCTTACACTAGTAGGTATTGGATAAATAGACTATATACCCAAAGAAATGTTTAACAGAAAGTTCATACACCAAAAAGTGAAAAAATATACTTATTAAACATGTTCAAACTTCCAAATATGGTTAACAGCGATTCCATAATCAGCGGGAATCTAAAATAACTATGACACAAATACACATAGTGTAATCAATAAAAACATACAAAAACAATAGATTGTAATAATCAAACTCACAAGGATAGAGCACTGAAGAAGACTTTGATATAGTCAAAACGCGTTTGCTGTGTATTGGGACTCGGTCCCAATTTACTGTGCAGTAGTTTATACGGTTAGCGTGTATTCACAGTTACACACTGCTTTATGCTAGTTCTTTTATCTTTGATTTTTTTATTTTATTTATTTTTTTTAGAAATTTTTGCTGTGCAGAGATTTACAAACAGCAGATGACAAAGACGTAATAATACGTTACTTATGTTAAGACATTTAAAAAGAACGTGCACAATTTTTTAAATTATAATGACGGGCTAATAAACATGCTATGAAAACATTTCTAGATATGGATTGTGGTAGAGGCTTATGCAAGAATAAAATACATCCAAACAGTAGGTCATTAGCAGTATGGTTAGTGATAATTGGTGTATATGTGCGGAGGCTTGTCTCATTTGGTAATGTAAGTCAACAAAGTAGCTTTCCCATAAGTACAAGGTAAAGACCATGTAGCCTACAGCACTTGATTAATGCTAACGATGGAGTTAAGTAAAGATATATAAGTAAAGTTAAGACATATGCCAACTCCTCTATATAGGCTCCGAAGAACCTGAGAACTGCGAGAAGAGTGGTCAGAGACATGTTTCACCCAGCGGGCTCCCATGCTGAGGTGTTAATACGTTGATTGGGATTAATTATTGGCAAACAGGAGGTTAACATGAGAGCCTAGCATGAGCTTAAAGGGACACTATAGTCACCAGAACAACTACAGCTTATTGAATTTGTTCTGGTGAGTAGAATCATTACCTTCAGGCTTTTTGCTGTAAACACTGTCTTTTCAGAGAAAATGCAGTGTTTACATTACAGCTTGGTGATAACTTCACTGGCCACTCCTCAGATGACTGTTAGAGATCCTTCCTGGGTCATGGCTGCCTACATTGCATCAAAACATCCAGTGTCTCTTCCCTCTGCATGCAGACACTGAACTTTCCTCATAGAGATTCATTGATTCAATTCATCTCTATGAGGATATGCTGATTGGCCAGGGCTGTGTTTGAATCATGCTGGCTCTGCCTCCTTGCCAGTCTCAGCCAATCCTTTAGGGAAGCATTGCGATTGGATCAGGCCACCACTTCTGATGATGTCAGACAGCTCTTTTTTTCTGACGCAAACAGCATGCAAATCTACAGCTTCAGGCTTGAATACAGTAAGATCTTGCTATAGTTATAGAAGCATTAAGGACCCTGACCCTATAGTGATCCTTTAAAATACATGAAGTGAAACAAAAACCGAAAGAAAAGAGAAACAGAAATAAACATTAGCATTGCTCTCTGTTAGAGGTGTATTACATGGTGCCAGCTTCATTCAGCCTATGCCCTCCAGTGGTCTAGTATAGTCCTGCTTCAGTCTGCCTACTTGAGGATGCCATAGCCACAGTAATGGCTGTTGTGACCTCCAGGTGGCGTAGCAAGAGAGGTTTGATGGGAGCTGCAATCTTGGGAGTCTTGCGGTGTTTCAGCCTCCCAGGCATACGTGGTATGTGGACTCTGTCATGGGTCTTGCACTGTGGTACACAACCTAATATGCCTCTGACGCTTCCATTTCGTCCGCAGGACCGTAGCTAATAGCACAAAGTGGATTCCGGATGGTAACTCCTGGCATAGGCTGCCATCTTGCCTCTGCGCAGGGGGAAGGTTCAGGTGGTGGGTCAGGTCAACCCAGAAATCCTTGTCCAGCTGCGAGGGAACAGCAGCTTGCTCTCCACTGTCGGCCAGGCGGCAGCATCTGCCATTTTAGGTGGAAATTTCTCCAGCAGCCAGGAGTCGAGGGTTATTAAGGGCCCCCAAAGGTAAGGACCGTTATAACTCCCCCTGGTCCAAAGGGGGCGGGCCAGTAGCACCGAGGATCTGACCTGCAGTAATTGGGCAGGATAGCGGGGCGGCGGCCATGTGTCTTATGAAAAGGAACCAGCCACTTATGAAATTATCCACGCGATTTCCCATCCAGCAGCAGCAGGACCCTCTGTTCTCGCGATCCGCGAGAGCGTTGTCGCGAGTTGCCATAGCAACCCGCAGCAACGCTCTCGCGGATCGTGAGAACAGAGGACCCTGCTGCTGCTGGATGCGAAATGAGCATGGAGAGTACTGGGCCCCTCTTCACTGCCCATCTAAAGCTGTGCCACCAGACCACCAGGACCAGGTAAGTGTCAGGGAGGGGCAACCATACACACTGCTCACCTTCCCAGTACTTATTCCACACAACACACACACACACACTGCATACACTATAAACACACTGCATACATTATACACACACTGCATACACTATACACACACTGCATACATTATACACACACTGCATACACTATACACACACTGCATACATTATACACACACTGCATACATTATACACACTGCATACATTATACACACACTGCATACATTATACACACTGCATACACTATACACATACTGCATACATTATACACACACTGCATACACTATACACACTACATACACTATACACACACTGCATACATTATACACACACTGCATACACTATACACACTGCATAAATTATACACACGCTGCATACACTATACACCCACTGCATACACTATACACACTGCATACATTATACACACACTGCATACATTATACACACACTGCATACATTATACACACTATACACACTGCATACACTATACACACACTGCATACACTATACACACACTGCATACATTATACACACTACATACACTATACACACACTGCATACACTACACACACTGCATACATTATACACACACTGCATACACTATACACACACTGCATAAATTATACACACACTGCATACACTATACACCCACTGCATACATTATACACCCACTGCATACATTATACACACCGCATACACTATACACACTGTATACACTATACACACACTGCATACATTATACACACTGCATACACTATACACACACTGCATACATTATACACACTGCATACATTATACACACACTGCATCCACTATACAAACGCACACACTGCATCCACTACGCAAACACACTGCATTCACTATGCATACACACACTTATACATGTGTATCTGTATGTCTGTGTATCTGTATGTGTATCTGTTTGTATGTCTGTGTATCTGTATGTGTGCCTGTGTGTCTCTCTCTGTGTGCCTGTATTTGTCTGTATCTGTGTATGACTGTGTTTCTATGTAACGGCATGTGTGTACCTATGTGTCTGTGTATCTGTATGTGTGCCAGTGTGTGTATATGTGAGTATGTGTATATGTGCATACATCTCAGCATTTCATCTACACTACACACAAATACAACCCTGCATCTAAATGTCAACACTACATAAAAACACACCATCATATTCAAAAACCACACTACAGAAAAATGCAAGCCTGCATTCAAATGCCAATTTGTGCAAACACACCCGTACATTCACTCACACATACTCCATACAAAAACATGCTTACATTAAAAATATACAAACACTGCTCAGTGCTAAATACATTTTTAAAAATGGTGGTTGTTTTTAACATTTTAAAGTTGAGGGGGGAGGGGGGGGGGCCAAATAAAGGATCTGCCCCGGGTGCCAAATGCCCCTGCTCCCAGGAGGCAATTGACAAGCTCAGCCTCGGCACCAGCACAGCTTTGCACCACGCTCCGTAGTTAATAGAAGCCCGAGAGGTAAATTTGCCGCTTTAATGCACTGTATTTACAAAAAACTGCAGAAGTCACCCTTTCATGCGAGCACACCGCATGGCGGTCTGGCCCCCTTTTATCAGGGCCGGACTGTGGATACAAATCAGCCCTGGAAAAAAAAAATCTATGCCAGCCCCATAAGTCATTGCACCATATATTGTCGCATGTAAAAACCGGGGAGGGAGATCAGAAATCTCACTGATATACATAAGCTCATTGACATAAAAACACAAGCTCACTCACTAGCAGACGCACACACACACACACACACACATGGAAGCAAGCTCACTCACTAACAGGCGCGCACACACACACACACACACACAACTTAATGTAGTGGTTCTGGAGTCTGTAGCCTGTCCCTGCAGGCTTTTCAATATAAACACTGACTTTTCAGATAAAAGGCAGTGTTTGCATTGCTTCCTAGTGACAGCTCTAGTGACAGACACTCAGACAGTCACTAGAGGTGCTGCACAGAAATCTCCCTCCCCGGTCCGCAGGTACCGTGCTGACAGCTGGCAGGGGAGGGAGTGAGAGAGGACTCGGGAGTTCTTACCTGCAGCTCCTCCGGGTCCTACTCTCGCAAGCACTGAGTGTTGCCGCGGCAACGCTCCAAATCTCACGAGAGTGAACTCTAGCCCTGGAGCAAAGGGCTAGAGTTCACCTCACCACTGGAACCACCAGGAATCCCCACCGGACCACCAGGGATGGAGAAATGTCCCCCCTCCTCCTCAATAAAGGTAAGAAGGGAGGGGGGACATAATTATATTAATTTTATTAAATAAAAATTGAAAAAATGTGTATTAAAAAGCCTCCCTGAGGGCGGAGCCTGAACGCCGATGGAGCAGGACGTGTAAACCCTGAGTTCTCCCGTCCACGAGCCACAATCCGCCAACATCGGCACCTTTTCCCCGACCACCCAAAAGCAAAAAAGGGTCACACGCTACCCGCAGCACCCCTCGCTCAACATCTCCATGGGGGGCAATAAAAAAAAAAAGGACACCCCTCTATCTGTGGCATCGATGTTCCGCGCCACCAGGGAACAGGGGCGGCCATCTTTAACACAGGAGGCCCAAGAATCCGGAGCTGAAACCGACGACAGCGAAGCCCCAGACAGAGAAGCAGCTACACACTGCCGCACAACGCCTGAATCACTTACCAAATCCGATCTCCGCCAAATGCTGCAAGATGCCACAGCTGATATAAAGGCACACACAGCAACAGAACTGGAACGCCACATTTCAGGCCTAAAAGGGGAAATCGAAGCCCTGAACAACCGCTCGGCACAGGCAGAAGCTGACATCACACAAATTAAAGTGAACACAACCCAACACAAGCAAGATATTTTCTATTTAAGCGACAAAGTGCAATTTCTTGAAGACAGCCTGGAAGACCTCAATAACCGGTCTCGCAGGAACAATATTAGAATAAGGGGCATGCCGGAAACAGTAGATAGACGCCATACTACCCACGCTACAAGAACTGTTCCGGTCCTTACTCCCGAATTCCACAGACCAAAACAGGGAGATAGACAGGGCACACAGGGCACTGCGACCCATAGCCCTCAACCCATCAGTCCCCAGAGACATCATCGTCTGCCTATTACACTTCGCCACAAAAGAAAAAATCATGGCGGCAGCCAGAGCCAAGCAACCAAAACATGGGTCTCAAGTGCTTACCTTCTTCCAGGACCTAGCTCCATCCACTCTGAAGAAAAGGAGAGACCTAAAACCACTCACTATAGCATTAGCCCAACAAGGACTAAGATACAGATGGGGCCACCCCTTCAAACTTCAAGTCCGCATAGGAGAACAAGAACACGTGCTACACCACCCGTCTGCAATGGAGGAGTTTGGGAAGCAACTGGGAATACAGCTCGCCACCGTGGCACCACCGAGAGACCGGCACAACAACAACGAAACCAGAGGAGCCTACGCCAACAACCGTCCCCAACAGACACACCGACGCCAAGCCAGCAAAGGGCCCCCCCCGACGACCGGGGCTACCAGCCCGGCCACTGTGACCTGAACTCAGCCCGCGCGGCCTCTGGACTTTCCTTTTCACCCTGTGGAGCTTACCGCTATAAACCAAACGAGGACTCAGGCCTGTATATCCTGATATGTTGAAATGCTGAAATGTTTTACTGTTTTACTGTTTTACTGTATTTACTGTATTAACGTTAGTATTCATTCCTGACATGATGAAAATGTGACGGAGAATATGCTGACACACTTGGGCCACCAACACACTAGATCAGGGGAGTAAACCACAACCACCAAAGCCTAAGGCCTTAACACACATAAAACATTTATAAAAAAAAAAAAAAGACAGGTAGGAGACAGGAGAAGGACCCCCAAAGGCCCTCCACAGTTCCAATACCCAAGACTCAACCGACCATCCCAGCACACGAACCACAATTTCAACACAATGCTAACACCATGAGAGCGACCCCCGAACACCGGCCAACTGGAACCCCCCGTAACCCAGGAACACACCACTACTGGCAGCAACAATTAATGACATGTACATTTTCTCTGCAGATCCCCGGAACCCTCAACGCCCCCCACACACCGGGCCATACCGCAGCCCCCACCTAAGCGAAACCCCAGCCATCGGTTTCCAGCGACCCGACAAACCATCACGACTCAGGTAACACTGGCATGGCTCGGAGAGGACGGGAGGTAAGGTTAATCCCCCCTCCAGACAGCTCTGACCCAACTCACACAACCTACTCACGACCAACCCCCAGTAGTAGACGATCACACCTGCTCCCCCCCAGCCGGACAACAGACCACCCACGGGGAAACGGGAATAGGACCGCACCGATACACCGGTACCTACACCCCCTCAACCTCCGCCCCCACCACACCCGGCAACCTAGGTATAAGACCGGGGAACACCCGACCCCCACCCCACTTACAAGGTAAACCCCTGACCTCCTACACCCACGGACTCGGATCCCCAAGTTTAGCGGCCACCGAATATACAGACAACCCTCCCACCCCGGACCTGCACATTCCCCTCCCGACATCCCATATACCCTCCAAGTGGCACTCAGCCACTACATACTACAGACACGCAGAGAACCAACTCACTCCACACATCACAGAACACCATGAACACCAATCTGACATGCGTATCCATCAACTGCAAAGGTCTTAACAACCCAGCGAAAAGACATAAACTAATGAGATGGGCATACCGTACAAAAGCAGACATAATATTACTGCAAGAAACCCATTTCACACAGGCCAAACCCTTCCCCCTTCTCAGCAGACAATACCGAGAGTGCCACATGGCAAACTCCCCCACGACCAAACAAAATGGAGTTGCTATCCTGCTGCGAAAAACCTGTCCACTCAGCACCAAACAAATACTGAAGGACCCACAAGGCAGATACATCACACTAACGGGTCAGGCAGGACACAAACAATACGCCATAACCTCACTCTACGCCCCAAACACTCCAGACAAAGAATTTTGGGACACGTTCCACGCACACTTAGCCCTAACCCCTGGCCACCTCAAAATTGTAGGCGGCGACTTCAACGCCACAATGACATCGGCGGTCGACAGAATACGAAGCCAAACACGCCCAAATCCCACACATAAAATAGACAGACTACTGCAGGACTTCGTACAAACACAGAGACTGGTAGACATCTGGCGCCTGCTCCACCCGACCACCAGGGACTACACATTCTATTCCTACCCACACAACTCGTACTCCCGCATCGACATTTTTCTGATTTCACCCCCCCTTACGCACATGACCCAAGCAGCCGACATAGGCAACATCACGTGGTCAGACCACGCAGATATCACAATATCAATCAAGGTCCCCGACATAGCCAGGCCATGGTCCTGGAAACTTAACTCCACACTGCTACACAACCCGAAAATAACAGAAGCAATCCAAACAGAACTGACAAACTACTTCACACTAAAGGCACCCTCGGCACCCTCACCAGGCGTACTGTGGGCTGCCCACAAGGCAGTCCTAAGGGGAACAATTATAAGCCTAGCATCTCACCTAAAACAAACACAACTGGCTGAGTTAGCAACAGCCCTCACGACTCTCAGATCCCTAGAAACGAGCCACAAACAAAACCCCACACAAGACATCCTTACGGAAATAACAGAATGCCGAACCAAAATTAAAAACTTCATGGCCAAAGACACAACCAAAGCTATGCAATGGACAAAACAAACCTATTATGAAAAATCCAACAAGGCCGACACCCTACTAGCCATGAAGCTGCAACGCAGACTTGACCGAAAACAAATAAACACAATACAATCACCGGACGGCACCACACACAGCACGCTGTCTAAAATCGGCGAAGTCTTCCAAAAATATTTTGCCACACTATACGACCATAGCCCCAACACCAGACTACAACCCGAAGAGTCCAGACAATCTATAGACGAATACCTACAGAAGATACCCTTACCAGCCCTAAAAACGGAGGCTATATCCAAAATAAGTGCACCAATCACTATCGAAGAACTAGCCAAAACCATCAAAAACACTAAACCCAACAAAAGCCCGGGACCGGATGGCTTCACGGGCCTCTATTACAAAACATTTCCTGCTATGCTCCTCCCCCACCTTTGCAACCTCTTCAACACGATACTACAGGGAAACCCCATACCCCCCGACCTCCTAAGAGCAAACGTGTGCCTTCTTCCCAAACCAAACAAAACCCACCTGGACCCAAGCCACTTCAGACCGATATCCTTACTAAATGTAGACATAAAACTACTTACGAAGCTACTTGCAGACAGAATAAACCCCCACGTACATAAACTTATACACCCGACCAAGTAGGCTTCATACCCTACAGACAGGCATACGATAACACCAGACGGACCTTTGACCTCCTTTGGACGACCTCTCATCGACGAATCCCCACCCTATTCCTGTCCCTAGACGCCGAAAAGGCATTCGACTGAGTATTATGGCCTTTCCTCTTTGCCACCCTTCACAAATTCCGGTTCCCCGACTCAATTCTCAATGCGCTCAACATCTTATACTCCACACCAGAAGCGAACCTCCTAATCCCAAATGCTCAACCCCCCTCTTTTCACATCTACAACGGGACAAGACAGGGCTGCCCCCACTCCCCACTCTTAGTTGCCCTCTCATTAGAACCCCTACTCCAAGCCCTACGCCTGGACCCAACAATAAAGGGAGTACACGTCAGGGAAGAAGAATATAAAGTGGCAGGATACGCCTACTCCTCACCCTCACAGATCCGATAAATTCACTCCCACCCCTACTACACACCATACAAGAATATGCACAGGTCTCAGGCTACCGCCTCAACCTGGATAAAACGGAAGCACTTCCAGTACAAATCCCCCAGGAGGACCTAGACTTATTAAAAATAAACTATCCGTTTCGCTTCAACCCCACGCATATACAGTATCTGGGTATAGACTTACCAGCAGACGTCTCCCAGACATACCGACTCAATTATCCCCCCCTACTTCAAAAGGCAACAGCGGACCTTAAAACATGGGAATCCCACTCCATCTCCTGGCTAGGAAGGGTGGCATGCATAAAAATGAATCTCCTACCGAGGTTCTTATACCTATACCAGACACTACCGGTTCAAATAGTCGCCAAGGACTTTAAACTACTACAAACACAAATAGATCGCTTCGTATGGGCCAACAAACGGGCCAGAATAAGAAGAGACAGCCTCTACCTCCCGACGCACTCGGGGGGCCTAGGCCTACCCCACTTCCTCCACTATTTCCACGCAGCCCAACTAGCACAGATTAAAGCACTACACGCACCCATCGGGTTGAAAAGATGGGTAGACCTTGAACATGACCTGTTCAGACACGATTTCCCTTCCCTCTACATCTGGGTCCCAAAACAAGCCAGACCACAACCCCCGCACACCACACCGGCACTTGACACCGCGATTGCAATCTGGAACAAACTCTCCATAAAACACGGGCTCACATCGAACCCTTCACCCCTGACACCAATCCTGAGAAACGAACACTTCACGCCAGGCATGACCCCAAAAGACTTTGCGCACTACGAAGACAACGACCTCATCAGGACATATCAATTCTTCCGAAACCAAAAACTCATTGCTTTCACGGACCTGCCACAAACCAGACCACTCACCACACACGACTTCTTCCGCTACCTGCAAATCAAAAATCTCCTAGACACCCCTACCTACAAACAAGCCGGAAATACACCCCTCACCGTTTTTGAGCAGGCATGCATCCATGCCCCCATACAAAAAAGTCAGATCTCCACAACCTACGAACTACTGCTCAAACCGATAGGAACACACCCACCTGGGTATGTAATAGCATGGGAAAGGGATCTAGGACCCCCCGCAGACCCCACAGACTGGTCCGCAATCTGGGTAGCCACAGCGACAGTGACAATATGCGTAACACATAAAGAACAGATTGCAGAGGAAGAGGTTCTATTTCAACTGTCAAAAGTAAAGACAAATAAGTCAATGGGACCTGATGGAATACACCCAAAGCTATTAAAAGAGCTTAGTGGTGTACTAGCAAAACCATTAACAGATTTATTTAACCAATCATTGTTAACAGGGGTAGTCCCAGAAGATTGGAAGTTAGCGAATGTTGTGCCCATTTACAAGAAAGGTAATAGGGAGGAGTCGGGCAACTATAGGCCAGTAAGCCTTACTTCAGTAGTGGGAAAGTGATGGAAACCATGTTAAAGGATAGGATTGATGAACATCTAAAACACATGGATTTCAAGATCAGAGACAACATGGGTTTACTTCAGGGAGATCATGCCAAACTAATCTTATTGATTTTTTTGATTGGGTAACTAAAATTATAGATCAGGGTGGTGCAGTAGACATTTCTTACCTAGATTTCAGTAAGGCTTTTGACACTGTTGCACATAGAAGACTTATCAATAAACTGCAATCTTTAAGTTTGGATTCAAATATTGTTGAATGGGTAAGGCAGTGGCTGAGTGACAGGCAACAGAGGGTTGTAGTTAATGGAATATATTCGAAACTTGGACTTGTCACCAGTGGGGTACCTCAGGGATCTGTACTTGGACCCATTCTCTTTAATATTTTTATTAGTGATATTGCAGAAGGTTTTGATGGTAAGGTATGTCTTTTTGCTGATGATACTAAGATATGTAACAAGGTTGATGTTCCAGGAGGGATAAACCAAATGACAAATGATTTAGGTAAACTAGAAAAATGGTCAGAATTGTGGCAACTGACATTTAATGTGGATAAGTGCAAGATAATGCATCTTGGACGTAAAAACCCAAGGGCAGAGTACAGAATATTTGATCGAGTTCTAACCTCAACATATGAGGAAAGGGATTTAGGGGTGATTATTTCTGATGACTTAAAAGGTAGGCAGACAATGTAATAGAGCAGCAGGAAATGCTAGCAGAATACTTGGTTGTATAGGGAGAGGTATTAGCAGTAGAAAGAGGGAAGTGCTCATGCCATTGTACAGAACACTGGTGAGACCTCACTTGGAGTATTTGACACAGTACTGGAGACCGTATCTTCAGAAGGATATTGATACCTTAGAGAGGGTTCAGAGAAGGGCTACTAAACTGGTTCATGGATTGCGGGATAAAACTTACCAGGAAAGGTTAAAGGATCTTAACATGTATAGCTTGGAGGAAAGACGAGACAGGGGAATATGATAGAAACATTTAAATATATAAAGGGAATCAACACAGTAAAGGAGGAGACTATATTTAAAAGAAGAAAATCTACCACAACAAGAGGACATAGTCTTAAATTAGAGGGACAAAGGTTTAAAAATAATATCAGGGGGGCGGGGCCTGACCGCCGACAGGATCAGACGTGTTCCGTCTGAGCTCCTGCTTCTGGGTCGTAACATCGGTGCCAACTAGGTGCCAAATGCAACCACTGACCCATACTGGTGCCCACAGCAACCTCCCGCAGCTGGGGTTCACGGGGATACCACTTAAGACCATGCCTGGCACTCCACAGTAACCCGACAAGGCCCGAAGCGCTCTGGAGTTTGAGCCGGGTAGGGACGGCCGCTCTCCCGGGTCTCCGACCGGTGTCTCGCTTACCCCCCCCCCCTCTGGACCGGGGGGGTTATCCCGGCCCCTGCCCAGTGGACACACAGAACCACCAAGACCCAGCAGCGTTGCTACCAAGAAGAGCGGCCTAAGCATCTCACCAAAGATGGCCGACGCCATGCGTGCCGAAGGCAATGTGAGGGCCTGCAACAACAACCCAGCACTCACAACGCTTACAACAAAGGCAAGAGCAAGGGCGCACCCCGCATGAGGCTCAATGCCGGACCACCTTTGATGGACTGCAACATGGTGACCCAAAGGTCCACACCAGGCGCAAGTGCACACACCACCGACGAGCAACAAGAGAACCCGAGTCCTGTCGCCTCACTACAAGGGCACACAGCAGCAGAGCATTGCCACACACCACGGCAAACTCCCAGCCTACCTGACTCGCATACCCAGGAGCCTTCCTGGGCCTGGAGCCCTCTGAGGACACTCCTCGAACCGCAGCCCCAAGCCCAAGCACACACCATCAGCCAGACATCCCGTTACCGGCCAGAATTGGACCGGAACCGAAGGCACTAGCGGTCGCTGAAGCAGAGCCCGGGGCTGGCGGAGTAGAGTATACCAGACCAGCCCGCTCATCAAGCCTCCGTTCACAGCAACATCGGGCTGGAGAAGGGTGAGCCACTAGACACAGCAAGCCTACTGCATAAGCTGCTCAGTAACACCATGCAGAAGACAGCATGATCCCTACGGTGAGAACTCAGTGGAGCTTAGCACTTGGCATTTCTGACTACAGCCTAATGCTCGGTCTGACTCATGATCGATTCAACAGCGACACCCCACCTGTCTCTGCCGACACATATCTACACAAGCAAGCATTCATCACTCCAGCTAAGAAATGTCCTCCCCCTGCTCTCTCTTGGTCAGCTACACGGTCAGCCAGACATACAACATACATTTTGCATAGAGAAGTGCAGGGGTGAAGGGACCATCACTTACAGGCAGTGTAATGGTACGGAGCGGTAACTCGCTGGACAATCGATCCTGACTGTTTAGCATAAATGATACTATCTATGCAGCATAAGCCTCCTGCCTTTAGCTTCTATGACCTGCTATCGCTCCTCTCATAAATAACACTGTCTATCTTCGGTGTAGGTCCAGATTTTCGGCAGTGCTATACTTTGCTTATCAGATCAATGCTAAATAGGACCTTCATGTGTTATCTTTATTTTATTTAATCTTTCTCACACTCAGTTTAGGCTTATCTGTCAGACCTCAGTGGCAATATAAACCTCACTGGGCATAGCTAACCCTTTCTAAACATGGTTAAACCTCACTGGGCATAGTTAACCCTTTCTAAGCACGGTTAAACCTAACTTTTTAAACCTAACTGGGCATAGTTAACCCTTTCTAAGCATGGTTAAACCTAACTGGGCATAGTTAACCCTTTCTAAGCATGCTTAAACCTAACTGGGCATAGTTAACCCTTTCTAAGCATGGTTAAACCTAACTGGGTATAGTTAACCCTTTCTAAGCATGGTTACACCTACCTGGACATAGTTAACCCTCTCTAAGCATGGTTAAACCTAACTGGGCATAGTTAAATCTCACTGAGCATGGTTAACCCTTACTGAGAATGGCTAAGCCTCACTGAACATGGTTGACCCTGACTAGGTATGACTGGCTCTAACTAAGCACGGTTAAATCTTACTAAGCATAACTAAATCTTATTAAGCATGGCGAACTCTTATTAAGCATAATTCTGTTTGTTTATATAAAAATGTGCAATGTTTCTTATGCCACATTACTGTCACCACATGTTTCATTTATGTTTGCACCAGCTGTCGTGGCAGTGCAAAACTGCTTGTTAAATCTATGCACGAATAAAATAAAGAATTTAAAAAAAATAATATCAGGAAGTATTACTTTACTGAGAGGGTAGTGGATGCATGGAATAGCCTTCCAGCTGAAGTGGTAGAGGTTAACACAGTAAAGGAGTTTAAGCATGCGTGGGATAGGCATAAGGCTATCCTAACTATAAGATAAGACTAGGGACTAATGAAAGTATTTAGAAAATTGGGCAGACTAGATGGGCCGAATGGTTCTTATCTGCCGTCACATTCTATGTTTCTATGTTTCTATGTTTGTATGTTTCATACAAAACCCTGATGCACTGGTATCATACTCCGCTAAAACACAAGCAAATGGGACTATCCACCTCAGATAGATGCTGGAAGGGGTGCGGCCAAAAGGGAACGTACTACCACATGTGGTGGGAATGCCCCCACATTGCACAAATCTGGACTGACATAGTGGCCCTGGCCTCCAGAGTCCTACATGATACCATCCCAAGAGACCCGTGGTTATGGTTACTATCCAAACCGCTGGTCGGTACACCACGGGCTCATAACAAACTACTAGCCAAACTAGCCTTGGCAACAAGGAGAGCCATAGCCTCCCATTGGGGCTCACCCACAGTCCCGTCACTCACTGACATAAAGAAAAAAATGAACGAAGCCAGGGCAATGGAGAGTTTATCTGCACTCATTCATGACACCACAACGCATTGTGACAAAATATGGGATCTGTGGCTCATGGAACCCACCACAGCCACATAAGACACCCCCCAAAAAAAAAAGGGGCAACCAACCACGACAGGAATCATGCACAAACACATAACCCATAGGGGCCAAGACGTCAGTGTCCAAGACAGGTCCACAATGAAATACGCAACTCCGAAAAACCGCACAACCCACAGATCAGGGACACCTTTTCACCCCCCCCCCCCAATCCCACCACAACCCCATCAGAAACCCCACAGTGTGGAACCCCCAATCCACACTCTATCCCGGAACTGAACTTAATCCACTCTCGCCCCTTAACTTGCAGTTCCGAATCCATGTACCATACCAAGGAAACATGATCTTAGGTTCAAACTTGTTAATATTTGTTTTATTTTGTTTTGAATTGTTTAAATGTATGGAAAATCGACAGAACAGAATCGTATATGAGAAAATAATGTTGCGTTAGCAGTAAACTACCCTACTGGTATATACCTCTCTGTATCACAATGCATTACTACACGGTTTACCTTTTGGCTTTTGCATAAGCCCACACACTACCTTCTGTCCAACATCTGTAAACTTACCATTTCTGTCAACCGGAAAATAAAGAATTAAAAACCCTCCTCCCCCCCACACTGCACACCCATAGACACATTTTCCCCCACACACATTGCCCCCCATACGCACACATTGCCCCATACACACACTGCCCCCATACACACATTGCCCCATACACACACATTGCCCCATACACACACATTACCCCTTACACACACTGCCCCCCATACACACACTGCCCCATACACACACATTGCCCCATACACACATTGCCCCACACATACATACAGTGCCCCGCATACACACACTGCCCCCCATACACACATTGCCCCATACACACATTACCAGATACACACACATTGCCCCACACACACACACTGTCCCACACACACAAACAGTGCCCCCAATACACACATTGCCCCAAACACACATACACTGCAACTCTCACATACACTGCTCCCTCACATACACACTGCCCCACACGTACACTGCCCCCTAACACACACACTGCAACCATGACATACACTGCCGCCCTCACACACACACTTCACCGCTCACACACACACTGCACCTTTAATACACACTTCACCCCTAACACATACCACTGCTCCTATGCCCTATATCCCAGCAGACCCCAGGTAAGTTGTCATACTGTTCTTAAACGGTTTGACTACTTACTCTGGGATGGGATCCTGGCACTACTGGCACCATAACTACTACACTGTAGCTGTAGTGATTATTGTGTCTGGATTATTTCTTTAAATAATCTACTAGTGCCCTTCCCGAGATCAGGCTCTGGATCCGCCACTGGCCATTTGGCTTATCCCTCCTGGAACATCAACCCTCTTACATATCTTAGTATCATCAGCAAAAAGACATACCTTACCATCAAGACCTTCTGCAATATAACTAATAAAAACATTTAAAAGAATGGGATTTGGGGTTTTCATGAGCTGTAAGCCATTATCATCGCACTTATGACAAATCACAGCTTGAACAATCTTGCTTTGCATGTAATGCGTCTATCTCATATATTAGTTTCCCCTTTTACGTTTGCAGAATATTTTAATTTTTAGAGTATCAACAGTGTCAAAAGCCTTACTGAAATCTAGGTAAGCAATGTCTACTGCACCACCCTGATCTATTATTTTAGTTACCCAATCAAAAAAATCAATAAGATTAGTTTGACATGATCTCCCTGAAGTAAACCCATGCTGTCTCTGATTTTGAAATTCATGTGTTTTTAGATGTTCAACAATCCTATCCTTTAACATGGTTTCCATTACTGTCCCCACTACTGAAGTAAGGCTTACTGGCCTATAGTTGCCCGACTCCTCCCTACTACTTTTATTGTGACTGGGCACAACATTCGCTAACTTCCAATCGTCTGGGACTACTCCTGTTAACAATGATTGGTTAAAAAAAAAAAAATCTGTTAATGGTTTTGCTAGTACTCCACTAAGCTCTTTTAATAACTTTGGGTGTATTCCAACAGGTCCCATTGACTTATTTGTCTTTAGTTTTGACAGTTGAAATAGAACCTCTTCCTCTGTAAACTCACATGTAACAAATTACTCATTTGTTCTTTTTCCTAACTGAGGCCCCTGTTCCTTCATTTTCATCTGTAAATACTGAACAAAAATATTAATTGAGGCAGTCAGCTGGACCTTTATCCTCTTCTACATACCTTCCTTCTTTTGTTTTTAATCTAACTAATCCTTGTTTTACTTTTTCTTTTACTGACTGTGCTATTTTCTCTTCTGTGTGTGATTTGGAAGCTCTTATAACTTGCTTAGCCTCTTTCTGCCTAATCTTATAGATCATTCTGTCTTCCTCACTCTGTTTTTTTTTTTATAATTACTAAATGCTAACTTTTTATTTTTAACTATTTGGCCACATCTGCAGAGTACCACAGTGGTTTTTTGAATTGTTTGCTTTTACTGACAAGCCTAATGCAATTTTCTGTTGCCTTCAGCAGTGCAACTTTTAAATAATCCCATTTCTCTTGGACTCCATTTAAATTGATCCAGTCTGATAATGACTCCTTTACACATATTCTAATTTTAGAAAAATCGTTTTTCTAAAGTCTAAAACTTTTGTTTTTGTGTGGTGTGACTCAGTCACTGTTCTTATATTAAACCACACTGACTGATGATCACTGGATCCTAAACTTTCACCTACAGTAATATCTGATACCAAATCTCCATTTGTTAACACTAAATCTAGTATGGCCTCCTTACGAGTTGGCTCCTCAACGACTTGTTTTAGAGACAATCCCAGTAGGGAGTTAAGAATATGTGTGCTCCTGGCACAAGCAGCTATTTTGGTTTTCCAATTTGCATCAGGAAGATTAAAGTCACCCATGATGATAACTTCCTCCTTTATTGTCATTTTAGCTATTTCCTCAATTTATAGATTATCTAACTGTTCTATTTGTACTTGCGGCCTATAAATCACACCTACACGAGTTACTGTGGGATCTCCAAAGTCTAACGTAACCGAAACTGACTCTATGTTCGCCTCACTAACTTTTATTAGGCTAGATTTTATGCTATCCTTCAAATACAGGGCCACCCCTCCCCCTTTCTTGCCTTCCCTGTCTTTTCTAAATAAAGAGTACCCTGGTATTGCTATGTCCCAGTCATTTTTCTCATTATACCATGTCTCAGTAACAGCAACTAAATCTACATTATCAGTTGCCATTATTGCCACAAGTTCATGGATCTTATTCCCTAAACTGTGAGCATTTGTAGACATGACTCTAAGCTTTTATTTTTTTAACACACTTGCTACAGGCACCTTCTGTCCTTGTTTTGGGGGGCAATTGGATTGATGTTTTATCACCCTTTGGCCCCCCACCCCCTCCTAGTTTAAATACATCTTAGCAAAACCTCTGAACTGGTCACTGAGAACATTTGTTCCCTTTTGAGAAAGATGCAAACCATCTTTTTTGTACAGTTTATTTCCATTCCAAACAGAGCTACCATGAGAAATAAAGCCAAATCCTTGCTCCCTACACCATTCACCAAGCCACAAGTTAAAGTCCCTAATACGCATCCACCTGTCGTTCTGAGTGTTATGCACAGGCAGAACTTCAGAGAATGACAGTGTGGAAGCAACCTGCCGTATATCATTGGCAAAAACACTAAAAACTTCCTTAACCTCTGAAACCTCATTGCAAGCCAAGTCATTTGTCCCTAGATGGATAAATACATCCAATTCCCCTTCCTGCTTTGCTCGCTTAACAATATTACAAATACGTCTCCTGTCTCTGTGGGCAGTAGCTCCAGGAAGACATCACACAAGACCACCATTGTCCATCTCCACACTTCTTATGATAGAATCCCCCAACAACAACAGCCTTCTATTAGGCCTCACCATAGTCTCCAAGCCTGTCTCCACAACACCACTACCCTCGGTGCCCGAGCCTGTCTCCACAACACCACTACCCTCAGTGCCTGAGTCTGTCTCCACAACACCACTACCCTCAGTGCCTGAGCCTGTCTCTACAACAC